TTTTAGCTCGTTACGTATAAATATTGCATGAATATTGCAGAAGAATTGTTTTAAATTAAAGAAACTAAAATGTAAATTTATATTATTGCATTGTTAGTACATTGCATTAGTACATTTTGATTATTACTTGTAAAGAAACTGCGATTTTGGAAACCGATTTTACGGACATAATATGTTGAAATAGTATACACAGAGAGAACGTTTTCTTAAAATGTATCCTGAAAATCAAGCGTGGGACAACGTGGCATTTTGAAGAATTTTTATGAGAGTTTTTTGAATTTTTACCATATATTTTACTAGTAGAATGTATGGTAAACTTTCAAAAAAACCCTCTTAAAATTCTTCAAAATGCCACGTTGTTCCACGATTACATGATTTTCAGCGTAAATCTTAAGAGAAAATTCTCTCCGTGTACAATGCGAAATGAGCGCAATAATGAGATATTGGTCAAAAAATTGATACCTCTAGTTCGTGCTTTAATAAAATTTCTCGCACAGTTATTAACTCGTATTTATCAAACTGTGTCGAAATTCACGATTTTCGCAACGATATACGAAACAACACGCATTAGCATAAACTCGAGGCGAGCGATTACTTTCATCTACAACAAATTAATATTAAAACTGTGAAACAAACTATCACTACTCTTACTTTCGATGTGCAAATTGTCTAAAATCATTGTAATGTCGGACCCAAATAAATACATAACTTAAAGCGAGAAAACTGATTAATTGGTTCTTTCTTAAAGTGAATAGACGTCACAGTTGGCGAGAAACTAATAGCGTGGCAAATGTTTTTCATGTTGCAACGAGAACGTTGTAAGAAATGCGACTCGTGAGGGCCCCGACCCAGTGTCACTATTACGATTCACACATCTGCTAGGAGGTGCTCGAGCTACGATCAAACGTACATGCATGCATACGACGTCTTTGAAATTGTTTTGTACAAGCGAGGTGCGTAGACACTCGCGCAATATGCTCACTAAGCCTTGAATCGATTTGAATAGAATTTAGCGAGTGCAATAACGTAATATTAAGTTTTAATAATACAATATTAATTTTAACTTTTCCAAGAAAAACTAAATTTTAAGTCACTAAATCCTTCATTTATCGATTATGTTTGAGAACTGCAAAACTCCTAATATTATAATAGAAATACTATTTATAAAAAAAATTCTATTTGTACAAATCATGTCTTTTAGTCTTAGAAAATATATCAAGCAATATAAAAAACGGTCTAAAGAAGTTAATTCGCTAAGTGATACTAAATAATTGGTTTGTATTTTAAAGTATTTCAAACTTTATGTATAATAGTGAAATATATAAAAATTAAAGATTTCACTGTCGACCGTTGTTAAAATACACAGCTTTTATTTCGAAGACTAAATGAAGGAATAATCAATTCACTGATAATTGAATAGTAAACAGTCGTGAGAGATTTTGCAAACGATGGCCGAGTTTCTGAACCCTGAACTGAATTATAGCATCTCGGGGATGCCCGTGCAAATGCCATGCCATTGTACGATAACGGCACGTGTCGAGAGTTCCTTAGACTTTCAAATCGGCCAAGATTACACCTGTAGTAAGTAGACTAAAGATACAGGATTTGTGTATAAGCGCAAACGAAATAATTCATATGCAAAGTAAGAGAAATTTTGAATTGTCAGAAAGGAATAGATCTTGCGTACGAAACGTCAGATATCTTTATCGCGTGCGTGGCGTGTATTTCGCGATAACAATTCAGTTGAGGTTTCCAAAACAACCAAATCGAATTTCACCGCGATTTTCCACGTAAAAATTACGAGGTCTGCCGACATCGTTCAGCGGTGAGTGAGCTGACCACCGTCTTAGGTCGAACACCCGGAGCAGCTTCCAAGGCCACGCACTCGATGGCCTTCGAGAATAATCTTCACGTTTTATAGGCACGCAACATTATATGCTTTCGGTACGTATTGCTATCGCAATAAGTTAAGAGTTTGCATACAATAAAATTTCTAGCACTACTAACGCGAGCATAATCAACCTGTGAATAATCCAATAATGGGTTAATTATTGCGAGATATTGCAACATATTTTCTAGTGTGATGATAATAAAAATATGATGATAATAATCAAATTACACTCTTACGTAAACGGGTCTTGAATTAACTATATCACAGAAAGCAAAGCATGTATAATATATTAAACAAGAAATCAAACAAAACATTATTATGATAGAATATTCCTTGTGAAAAAATTTTTTCACAAAATTCAGACAATTACTACACTGAGAAAATTTTCCACTGAATAAACCGATTAAATAGTGATCCCGATGGATTTTCGCAATTAAATAATTTTTTCGAAATATCCGATAAAACTTGTTAGATGAAATGCAGTTACCGATCAAAGTTGAACGAAAAATCGATCATATTCTTCATCGGACAATTTATGACCGTTTTCACCAACGTCGTTTAACTTTTATCTTAGTTTAATTCGTTCTTTATCTCTTTTTAACTGTCCCCTTAGAAAAAAGATTTACACTAAGATCAAAGTTAAACGACGTTGGTGAAAACCGAGATTAATCGCATATACATGTCCGTTTGTTAATTATGTTCAACAATGTAGTGATGCTTATTGTCGCCAGTAATGAGTAAAACTAAGTCGCAAACTTATAGTCGACCAAACTGGCAAGAGATTAATTTATTAAGAAAAAAAGCTACGTTTCGACCAAATTACAGGTCTTTATCAAGTAGAAATCAAGTGTATTTTACTTGATAAGAATACAATTTGGTCGAAACGTTGTAGCTTTTTATTCTGAATAAATTAATATCTTCCCAGTTGGATCGACCAAGTTTACGACTTGTTAATCATGATATTGTATTTAAATGCGAAATTATATCTTCATTAGATGACTACTGGTTAGTAAACTACTATTAGTTTTAAGTAAAAAAGATAGAATGACACGTTTATTGTAATGTATCTAATTTGTATCTGAACACTATCTAATTATTATAAGTTATGGATGACATTGAATTATTAAAAAATTTTCTAGTCGTCATCTCATACTCGACTAGCAAAAAGATATAATTAAAGACAACTTGATGCTCTTCGATGTTGCGCCATTGCAACGTACTTTGTGACACGCACTACGTCGACAGATAACTAAACAGCGAATACGTCTAATTTTTATAATTATGACGTATTAATTATAAGTTTTTTGTTTTGTTTTCTGTGTGACTTTTCTGTAAATGTTGAATTATTTTATGTTAAAAGAAATTAAATTTCCCCCCAATTTATCTAGATTACAGCCTCGAGATAGTACGAATTTATTATATGATATATTATTTGAAAATATTCGTAGAGTTAATCGCGCGATAGCAAGCTCAAAGTACACGAGCTGTACATATACTTTTCGTACAATAATTAGAATGTAATAGCATCATCTATACATTCTACACATATGTAGTATATTTAATCCTGAACTTATTAAGCTGATTCTTGCAATATTATCACTGACTTGTAAAAGCATAACAATTTTACCTGACTATTAACTAATAAAACTAAGCAACGATGAGTATAAACTGCAAAACTACTCTTTAAAAGTCAATCGGTGAATATGCAACGATAATCCACTGATTAGAGAGTAGACAGTCACAGGACTTTGATTTTCTACACGGGATGTCGCACTCGCATTGTTTTTTGTGCTAAATTAATCGCGACGAATTATTTATTGTCGCGTAAATGTGTCGGCAGAATTTTCACTAGTGACACCGAACTATAGCGTCGCCACACGCTCGGCATACAGCGGTAAACAGCGAAGGTAGCATATTTTGAGCGACATCGGTTGACAGAAATAATCTTGTTTCCGCTACCGCGCAAGGCTTTGTCATAGCAGGTGTTTTTACGAGATAAAAAATCTCTTAGATCATCATAATTGTTTGATGACATGAAAAGTTTTCGCGTTTTTTTCTTTGAAAACTCTAGACTTGGCAAATTCAACCTGTTGTGTCCCTCGTTGTCTTATATAACAAAATGGGCTCGGTCTTCGATGGTAATCTCTGTATTTTTTCAAGGCTGTAACTGTTAACAGAAAATATGTTCGGTTCACAAAGACAGTAACGAAGTGCCTCAAGGATAACTTTAATTGCAAGCTGATCTCGAGCCATCAGCACCGTCCCGCTTATGAATGACCACACTAAACCGCCGTCGAATCCTAATGGATTGCCGTCTCGTAGAACAATATCGAATCTAAATGTGTCTTTGTTGCAACGGCACCTCGTTACGATGGGACGGACGGTGCTCGTTTGATTCTATAATGCAGTGACGCCGCGGCGTAATTCTCCCTTTCCTCGTCAGCCTGAGTAGTTTACAAACAGCGATTCATTCTTACACAAATTTTCTTTGTAATCGCTCTATCCTCAAGTATATGTTGCGAGTCACTTTCGTTTACTGACCCTGAGAGCTCGTCGCTTCGTCGCTCTCGCACGCACTTTCGATCACACGCAGCCTTTTTTGAAAGACGGGAAAATCACTATTTTTTATTACGTAAACCGTGACAAATGTGCAATCATGTCAAGCCAATCGTACAAATAAAAGTATATACAGCAAGGAAATATTAATGATAAATCTCTTAATTTTGTCAGTAATTTAAATATTGCATAACGTTTGATTAGTCACACGAAGATCCAGGATCTTTATCAATAAATCTAGAATTCTCAGGTCTCACTCTTTTTCCTAAAAATATTCTCACGTGGACAAAAACTAGCCGAGTGAAAAACGTGTTCGCAGCGGATGGGCAGCTCGAGAGCATCGAATCGACGTTCCTGGGATTTCGCTTCGAATATTTCATGGCCATTGTTTCCCCTTCTCGAACACGAACACGATGTTTTGTCGGCCCGTAAACAACTCCTTCGCGCATTTATTCACTTCATTTTTTTTTCGAGGTCCTCGAGACGAAAGAGTGGGAGAGAACCGACGAGCGTGTATGCGGTATGGTATCCACCCCTCTTCTCGGCCTCCCTATCGACAAAGTAGCACAGGTGACTTGGTCGTTCCGCGATCGAGCCACGATCACTCGTAAAGCTCGCGCTCGAATAGCCGGGCAATTCCAAGATCGCGGGCACACTCGATAGAATTCGCACGATTTCCCTGGCCAGCCGGCTCCGAATCTCTGCTCTTTCCTAGAGAAAGAGAGAGAGATAGAGAGAGCGTCTTCGGTAACTCGGATAACGAAATTCTCGGAGCTACAGTGGGGCTTTTCGGTGACAATCGCGCAAACGTGAACGTGATCCACGATCGAGCTCTTAAAAGAGGCGTCTTAAACGATCGCGACACGAAGGAGTTAAACCGCCCGAACGAAGTACTTGACTTAGCACGCTCGTTGGAGGGGTGCAATGGGGACGTTTGTGAGGATTTGGACCATTTTCAGTCTGCTCGCTTTGTCGCGCACCGAGTCACCAGTGGAGGTTTTGCCATCCTCGAGCGGGCTCAGCACCTTCGAGGAGAAGGACATACTTCGCGTGCTGTCGCGCAACAAGACCGACACGACTGAGAATTTCACTTTCGTCGAGCTGATCAGCAGCCTCGGTAATTACACGATCGACACCACGAAAGATATATGGAGAGACGACAGGCCGGAACTGCATCACACGAATCCGCACTATGGTGAGTGATAACATACGCTATTACGCGAGACGGCGGGATATCTATCGGCACGTCGTAACAAGTTTGCGAAATTTAGCCTGGGCAAGTGGCGATCTAACGTTTCGCCATTTAGCCAACTGTATTTCGTAAGAATTGTTGGAGACTAAATGTCAAGGCAAGGACTTTTCGTACACGGATACACGATAAATCAGCTGACGATTTTAGTCTTCGCTAATTATAATACTATCCGGTTTGTCACGCGAACGTATTTGAAAGACAAATCACGGAAAGGCGTGTGCTCGAATTAAATAAACGACTAAACAAATGACCTGGTACGGTTTTAATCAAGCGAATCGTTCGCGCGGCGGACGGGTGAATAATTTCATATTCGTTGGCGGACGTATCGACAGGTTGCACCGATCGCGGTACAAATTACCATTTCTAGCGCGTGCCCCGACTTCATCTTTTAAACATTAGCCGTTAATTGTAAAATCCACTCGCGGCAATCGAAATTCGCACCTTCGCGCGCTCTCGGCTCTCGTAATTAACAAAATGCTATTAACCTTTGATCAAGCACATGGAATGAAAGTAAATACCCGCGTCTCCAGAGCGCAAATAACAATTGACTTTGATGATTCGTCGAAATTGATAAAGAGGAGCGATAATAATCGGGAGCTTCCCCACGATATTCTTGGTACAGCGACGACCTGCGGATACTAATTTCGTTCGCGAGTCTGAAAAGAATAAACATGTAACCGCTGCACTTTTATAAACCGAAGGCCGTCCGTATGTATTTATTCCGGCGGCGTACCGCGCGGATGCCGATCACGTTGATTCACAAACACGTAAGAAAGATTCGGAGTATCAACTGCCTTATTTCGATTCTGAGGATGTCCAAATGACTCCAACCAAGTCGCGATAGAAGATGAAATTATTTCAATTGCCGTTAAATGGGTATGCGATCCGCACACGTGTAAACGAGACATAGTTATTCTTTATTAACGCATTTAACCGACGTCGGCCGGCAAAGAATGCACGCGACAGCAGAAATATATATTGACCTTAAGTCCGCACGTACTTTCTAAAAGTCGCTCAGTGAATTATCACTGAAAACAATGAATAGTCACTACGTTGCAGTTATAAGTATAGAGGAAAATCCCCTATTATGAGATAGACTCTTGATATGAGATAGCGGAGTTTCCTCTAAATTAATAGGCATCATTTGGTTCCACCATGAATTTGTTGCACTTGGAGTGAAATTCGTTTAGTGGAAAATTAATTAATTGTTTGATCGTGCAATCGTTGCGAAAAAAGATTTATGATCGAATTTGGACGTTGAAAAAACAACTATCTCACATTAGAATTCTATCTCACAATAGAGGACTTTCCTCTACTACTGAAAATTGCAGTGGTATACTTATAACTGTAAATCAGCGACTATTCACTGTTTTCAGTGATAATCCACTGATTGACGTTTAGAGAGTATAAAATACTTGTAATGCTTTGATATACAATATCGTATTCTTGAGAGCCAAAACTGATCAGCTTCGCTAAATTTCTTAATATGCCAGGACATGAGAATAGTTTAACTTCTTGTTTTACTTTTTGTCTCATAATCAATTAAAATCATACATAAACATCATTTATGTAGATTTATTCAACGACTATTTTATTTAAATTGTCATTACTGAAATTTACGAGAGATGAAGGGACAAAAGCAGCGTCGATATTTCGACACGCGCGATGTTGGAGAACGACTTGTAGTGGCGGTATCGCACGCATTATGCGCCGATGCACCGGCGAACGTGACTGCGGTACTTGTAGCGTGACATAACAAAAGTCTTAAAGATTTCGATGCAGGAAATCACCTCACGAAGAGTATGTCGACATTTCGGCATACTTTTAATGCGAACCATTAGTAAACCGTTGCGCTATATCTTTGCAATTTACTAAATTGAAATGTAAAACGTTTCGTACCTCCTATGCGGATTTTTATATTTAACACGTTAAGGAGTTGCAGGTGTAGGCGTACGGCAAACCGAAAAATATATAGAACATTTTTGCAACATATGAAACTTTCACGTGTTGTAATGTACAAATGTTACGTATGTAATAATTTCTTTCACGTTCCATCGGTAATTCAAATTAATTACATTTTCATTATTATATATGTCTGGATCCGATTGTATTCGCAATAATTAAAGCATTCCTTTCCCGCGAGGTAGGGGCGGTTTCAATGAAAAAACGATAAAAACGTTTCTGTCAATCGAGAATGGTTCATTTAAGAACCGGTTCTGTTCGACAAATTATGGGCATGCGACCCTGAATGCGGTGAGAAGAGGGTATTCCCCTTCCGCTGAAATTTTTTTATATTTGCCACAAAACGAGTTCTTATATTTTGCTAGTTGATTTTGCTGCTACGAAAGTTATATTAAGAGCGAATACAGGTTTCGCGTTTTAATCGTACTATCATACATTTTTCTTAATAATCAACTTCGTTTTTAACCTTTCACGTTCCTTTAATGAGAAATATATCAGTCCTGTTTAGAGCAATAATTCAGAGTTTTTACAGCGAGGCTGTAATGAGCTTGTTATATCCAGCTACCGCTTACAGTTTAATTGTGACAAATGGACTTGAGTTATAACATTTTTAATTAATTTAACCTTTAACTGTCCACATATGACAGCCAATTGCATACATAATGCCATTATTAATATTAATCCCACGTGGCAGTGTGCGTGTAATGAAACGTTACGCACCGCTGTATTAAGCATATGAGTCACGGACACGATTATATCCGTTAGGTAAATACTTAATTTTTTACACAAGAAGGATTCGAAACTGAGAAATTGGAAATTTGATTATGGAAGCGTCATCTATTGGAACAAAAACCTAAAGAACCTCCCAAAAAATTATTCTTGAGTCAGCATTGCGTAAGCGACGATTTAGCAATTTAAACTGTAGACTTGTTTTTACGCAAACTTATTGTTAAACTTGTTTATGAAATATTTATGTAAATATATTACATAATTGATTGATTTGCACGTTATAGTTAACATTGTTTTACAATTAATGTGAGTCAATACCGCTCGAATATTTCTCAATATTGGAAAGATTATGCTGATGATATTTATGCTTCGCTATGCGAATGGGTCACATATAATATCACGTGAGTAAATGTGGCTACTTTACCTTTTGCATTTAATAAAACTTACCTAGATAATAGATACTGCAATGAAAAAAAAATCGAAAATCTCTTTCAAAGGTATGTTTAAATGGAAACTTGGCTATAGTAATACTTAAAAACAAATTTAAGAAAAAGAGACTTGAAAAGAAGAGAAATTTATAGACTTCTTGACACAAATTTTAGAAAATATTTCTATCGATGGTCTCTAATAATAATAAAAGCATTTTTCTACACGGAACAAAAGTTAATCAATAAGATCAGTGTAATTGAAATACAATCGTTGAAACAACAGTAATATTAATGAACAAAAAAACACCAGATAGATGTCTTAATAATCTGAATATTTAGTTCAATGCTTAAAATCAAAATCCATAGCAAATACAATTGAGTAAATTATTTATATTTGTGGCAGCCCGTGACGTTAACATTTAATTCAAGCAACTTTGTTTAATTTTAATTTAACGACATCTTTTTCCCGTGTAGAACTGCAAAATTGATAACATTTAGATTGTCGTAATCTGAATCGTATCCGAAAATAGAGATACATTTTTAATTAATTCGAGAATTAAATTTCGACATAATTATAAAACGGTTAATTTAAATTTATCGAAGAACAAGTTTAAAAATGTCACATTTAATTATTTAGTATAACCTTGACATTTATGTACATCTCTTATCTCTTACCGCCACACTGAAAAAAATTTCTGGTTGAATATGGACGAATCAGATAATTCCTTTAGGATTTACCAGAATTCCTTTAGGATTTACCAGAATTTCTGTAGGATTACAGGAATTCTGGTAAATCCTAAAGGAATTATCTGATTCGTCCATATTCAACCAGAAATTTGTTTCAGTGCAGAGAATGTAATTCACCTTGATCTGCACTATAATTTTAAGAGCAGCCGGCGCGGCGCGACGTAAGAAAAAAATTTAGTTCCGATCGCATTTATAATTAATCGATGACTCGACTTTACATAGCGCTTTTTAACCCGGGTTTCCCGCCGTTAACGGCGAGAATTCGCAGGCAGTGCGATGTCCCAACGTGCTAATTGATTACAGAACCAAGAAAAAGATCGAGAATTTTTTTTATGAAGATACCGTTGCAAATAGAATAAGGAAGTAAATTATAATGAAATTAGTTGGCGATCAAAGTTCGTCCAGCTGGACTTTGTCCAAACCGTTACTTGTCCGTCGCGTCATTAGCCGTACGTCATTAATCGAGGCAGGGATGCCGAATTTCGCCTCGAATTGCTACACGCTCGCGACTCCTTTGGAAATGGAATGTAAACATTATCGCATGTTGCATTACGCAACGCACGTGACATGCACCATTGCCGATGGACCGAGGAAAGGTCGGGAATGCGGTAGCAATGGTTCAGGGTCATTATCGTCATACGTACACGTGCATTCTGTAACGATTCATGTGAAACAGTGAATACACAATGAAAAGATTTTAATCAAGTGCATCGATTGTATACGTCATAGTATAACTGCATAGTACTCTCTAAAAGTCAATCAATGGATTATCACTGAAAGCAGTGAATAGTCACCGATTTAAAGTTATAAGTATACTACTGCAATTTTCGGTACTTATAACTGCAAATCAGTGACTATTCACTGTTTTCAGTGATAATCCACTGATTGACTTTTAGAAAGTACGCACTCATCACAGCTACGCTACCATACATACAACTTTTCTCTCATTAGCTTGACGAAAATAATGGCGAATGCGCAGAAGGGATCGACACAAAACCAAACAAGTGACAGAGTGGACCTACTAATTATACTATACATACACGTTATATTTCAGGTGAAAAGTCAGCTCTTGCTAAACTTGATTCTTATCACTTACTTCAGTCTCTCGGCCTTGGCGCCTCGAGCAAAACTTTTTGGCAATTAATGCATGTGTAACAATTTCGACACGGTTTTTGGTCCGAATTTAGGTCTATGGGGTAATTTAACGGAAGATTGAGAAACTTGATTTTCAGGTTGGTAGGTTTAACAGACGCAAGGTACGCATTCATTTTTATGAGAGAAGGGTCAGCTTATTAAACCAAGGCCGTTTACAATGGTCGACTGTAATCAACGAAATTTCACGAGACACGGCAGTGTCTCGCGCTAAGTATAAGCGTAGTTTGGGTTTACATCAGTGCGTTCCACGTTACTACTTTAGAAAGTTCAGCTAACGTAATTAATTTTCGTATAGCTACAATTAGAAGTCAATGTCATTAGAGGGATCGCAATCCGTAGTTACGCGACTCATCGTGTAACCGTTGTCTCTATATATCGAAAGTAATCGAGGAATGGTTAAAATTTATCGATACTTTCTAGAGAGAAAATCTTTTAGATATAAGGTTGCGAGAGTAACAAGAGAATCGAGAATTTGAATGTGAATAAAACGCCTGAAAGTGTCAAGGTTTCACTCGGAATAGCTAATTCGTCATTTCTCAACAACTTTGATTCCTGGGGCAATGAAAAAAGACTAATACGAGATTAATTAGTTACCGTAGATTTATAGTTACGTTCATGATATGTAGCGAGAAAAGTAGTTCATTGATAAAGTATATTACTTGCGTAAATGAGACGCTACAGCGTATTTTAAGAATGAGAACGTTCTTTTGCGGAAAAATTATTCTTTTCGAATAAATCAGTATCACTGAAAAATGAAGACATGGGGGGAAAATGTAGATACAACTAATTACGATTATACAGATGTATGTAGGTACTCGATGTGCATAAGTAAAAATGCATGAATATGGACGCATTCTTTTTTCTGATTTACATTCATTCAGATGGAGCGCCGTTATCGTCCTCATTGCCGACATCACGTGAAATAACGTATGCAAAATAAGAAATGCTTACAAAGAAACGCCTTGATACTTTCTCGCCACTTTTGGTGGAAAGTCCTTGCTGTAACGCATTCAGATTCGGTGGAATGCTCGCTTGTTGTATATTCCAACGTGCGAAATAGCGTGTACCCAATAAACAAAGACGCATCTGTGTAAAACGTTTATTTACAACGGCTGGTGAGGAAAGAGAGATATGTTCAATGTCCACGTAACATTTCGCAACGTGGCGTTGGTTTTATTAACATTCCGCGGTATCAGATACGACATGTAGAGTCGATATAGCTGCTTTCCTTCACGCATTATCCGAATAAATTTGTAACTTGATTGTAATAGTGTCATAACGATGAGTGCTAATTCTTTTTAGATTCTTATCACGCATACTGATGTTGCTAAAACGATACGTGCTTACATGCTTGTATATTTTAACGGATGCTGAATAATTCCTGAACGGAGCGAACTTTGATATTACTCACTTTTTAACAAGCAGAATGGTTAATTTATTCGGCAAACGACACCTAACGATATTCGTGAACGGGACGAAAGTTGAATTACGAACTGCCAAGAGACAGGAGATTTTTTTCAAAGTGTTCATAAATTGCTAATTATTACGTCTCTCCCCGAGATGAATAAAATCAACAATGGCGCGGCTGGCAATGAGCGTGTTTGACGAGGAGCTAATGAAGACACACAGATACGCATCCGACCCTCCTTGCCCACGCGTTAATTGCCTGCACAACAAGACGTCGTAAATCGTAAATGGGAGATGTAATGCTATTTACGCAGGTTGACATCGCCGCGATCATTATCGCGTTTCGTAATGCGATTTTGTGCTTGCGCGCATAGCGCGGAACTTCGGTTCGAGAGCGAGTTTTAATTATGTGTATGCACCCTGTCTAATGCCATTGGAAATGGGATCGTTTTATCGTCTGGCCGCGATGGAGCCAAACCGGTTTCGGTTTCGGATTCAGCAGTAAAGTGAACGTAACCCAATCTGACCCAACTTTACGATCTTGCGTAACGGATGTTAATTGTGTCATTATCACGTGACTCGTTTAAACGCGACGCCCGCGAGAGATTTCGGTTGCACCTACATGAAGCGAGGGAATTTTAACGCAACACGGAGATGTCTTGCGAGTAAACTCTGATATAATGGTGAGTACGCTCTTTCACCCATTGTACACCCGCCCATGCGTGTCGCAGGTTACCACAGCCGATCGGGCGAACAAACCGCGACGCTAAGTGATTCCGTTCGCGCGGAGTTTCGACACCGCGATGTCGCGTACTCTCCGTGGACGTCCGGCTCCATTTTTCAGTCCAATTGCCACACGATCGCCGCGAGAAAATGCCGTGTCGCATCGGTGGAACAATGGGACCTGGGTCGATTATCCGCTAACCGCGGAAAGACCGGGTAATCGGGACACTCGAAGACCGCGCGAGCTCGTGATTGACAATCGATAGCTATGATCATGATGTAGAGCCCGTATCAGACTACGGATTGAGATTAGATTGAAATTTGACCAATTAGAGTAAAAGTTACTAGACTTGAAATTAGTAAACTTTACTGTGATTGGTCAAATTTCAAACTAATCCCAATCTCAATCCGTAGTCTGATACGTGCCTAAGACTATAAGGTGAAAAACATACCCGCGGACGTGCACTCGTCCACTTAATGACGATTCTTTGACAAATCAAAAATTTTCCCCAAACCTACAAATCATTGCGCATAATTGCGGTTGAATGCAGCAAGAACCAGTGAACATTTTGCCCCAAAAATTGGTTCTTGTTGCATTCAACAATCCGCCATTATGCGCAATGATTTACCTTATATCTCTACATCATGGTTACAATAAAAGGAAGGAAAGAACGATGTATCGGGAAATTAGAAATACAGACCGTATTATGGAGGCATTATGTTAATTTCGATATTAACGCGCGTTTGACCAGGAGTTTACGACGCGACCATGATGCAACCGCGATAACCACGCAACACAACGCACATTACCACTTTCTATATGGCCGAACGTATTTGTGCTTTAGCAATTTGATTTCTTCTATCGCAGCTCATGGGTCAGTAATATACCATCGGAGTCTGATCGAGTCTTTGATAATTTACGACTCACTTAGAAATAGTACTACAATTAAGAAAGTTTGCCAAGGTTAGCAGCCTACCGAAGATGAAGTAAAACCAAATGCTCAAAGCACCAGAACGAGAACTGGGTAAAACAGGCTTTAAGCCTGATACACGAGGAAGGAAAAGAATTAAGAAAGTATCGCAGACAGTTTCGTTCATAATTTCTGGAAGCTGCAGCTATCTGTTATGTCATTTATGAATCTTTGAAAGACTTTTTTGGACGCGCGAAGAATAGAACAGCTACAGCTACTTGAGCAAACGTAAAAAGACAACTGGATAATTTATTATCTGGTTTGTGGAACACAAAAAATAAATAGGCTTCTTGTTACATCCTGGGAAAAAAAGAGCTCTGATCACCGATTCTATTTCAGATAATATGATAATTGTTCTGCGTACATGCAATAAATTCTTAAGGAGCTCCTCTCTCCGAGCTGATTACTTATGCACGATACGGGTACAGTGTTAGCATGGAAACACCCTAGAGATCAAACTTTGTACATTGACCTTCATTATAATTTTATAATGAGTCGTAACCTCATTCGATGCCGGATCAACAGCCTTGCGTATCTTTTGATTCGCCCGCAATTTCGTCGAGTTGTTTCATTAGCTCGCCTGAGAGACCAACTTTCAATTCGATTATTATCGAATAAAAAGTTTTCCTGGTGAGGCTAGGCTTTATTAATATAGGAAAGGAGGAGACGGGGGAGAAGGTGAGAACCATTGAATTGAAAAATCAGTTTAATCCGCGCCACGATTGCGAAATAGATTGACGTCCAATATTTTACCGGTGCAGTTCAATTTTAATCTCAGTTTAATTTACTTTCCATCTGTTTCCAACTCTTAGGAACTAGAAAAAGGTAAAAAGAAAGTTAAACCGAGATCAAGGTTGATCTGCATTGATAGAAATGGACACGAGTCATATATGGGACACACCGGCGATTTCTGTGCAACGCTGTGCAACTGGAGCAATTCGTACCTTACCCGAAAATTTCACTTCCGTTTGATCTTAGGATTGCGTCACCATTTGTAAATGAGCACACCGGGAGGTATCCTAATAGCCCGCCCCTCTCTCTCTCTCTCCCCCTGTCTCTCCCTGTCTGTCCCTATCTCTCCCTGCCTCACCCTCCTCCCCCCTCTCTCTCTCTCGCGCGCGCGCGCGCATTATCATGTCAGTGTCAAGCAAGCGTGAATTTTACGTCGATAAAATTCCTCGCTCGTTGGAACATAAAGCACGTAGCCGGGTCCCCCGCGATTCACGTGGATCCTCCGGCGATGTACCAATTCGCGAGGAAGAGAGAGAGAGAGACGGGAGGCCTTCTTTTCGAGAGTTGCCTTTGCTCTCGCGCTCTTCGATACGCGTTCAAGGGTAGACTCCCTTAATATCCGAGATTCCCGAGTGTCGGGGGCATTAAAAGGATTCCTCGCTTTTTTTTCCAGAGGACTTTCCGGAGAGAATCGATCTGGAGGCGCGCAGATTATTGCAAATCCTTCCCCCTTACGACCCCGGCGCGGGAGGCGTCAGCGCGGAATGCAAACGACACGCCGAGATCTTTCACGAGGAGCTCGCCAAGTTCACGCTGTGGGCGCTCAAAAGTAAGTCGCGATCTCCGATCCGACACGAGTAAGTACATGTTCGGGAGCGCGATCGTATCTAAGGTCGACCAAAGATAGCATATCTGAAATCAAATTACACGACGGCAATTATAGAAGACTCCGTTCCTAGAAGCCCTCTTCGATTGCGAAAACGGAACTCGGAACTCATGTCCATCGATCGTCGAGCACGAAATGACCGAAAATAAACGACGTACGAATTTGTGCTTAACGATCTTTCACAAGCGGCCACGGATGACTCAACGGAACGTTTTACTCGTAGACGAACGTTTAATGCCGCACGCTATTCCGTGCACGGCACGAGGGATTTGCCAACGGTTACTTGAAGATATTGCGGTCGTCGTTGGATCCTCTCTTTCATCCTCTTTGTCCGAATGTCACCTTGCATACGTGCGCGCCAATGTAATTTTTCATATATCACGAACGACGCACTTGTCTCGCGCGGGCATCGCTATTGCATTATTATTGCATCCCGCGTTCCCAGCGGAACAATCCATCAAAATTTTCCGCCAAGAGTTTACTTAATTAAGGATGTTGAGCCGTTATGACTAAAATAATGAATACTCCTTGAAACCAAATTGAGACCATAAATTTCATCGCAAAAGAGATTCTGCTAAAGTTTAAGGCGGTTTAGGAACCTACTGAGAAAATGAAATAATAAATTTACTTATAGTTTATGGAAAATAAGGGGAATCATTGCAGTGAAAAATGATGGAAAATATATAGTATATAATTTTGCAAGTAGAACGAGTAAGACTACATAATTATTCACACCAATTTTTAGCTTTATTAGGAGACTCGTTTTTTTATTCAATAATATTTAAATAAAAAAAAACGAGTTTCCTAATTAACCCATTTTGCACAATACTACACGTTGTCGTTTAATTTTCTCAGGAACAAGTTCCCAAACAGCCTCGAACTTCGACAGATTTTTTTTTATGGTGAAATCTACAGGATTTTTAATTGGGGTTAATTTGGGCGCAAAGAGTTTTTATCATTTCAGTCGCAACGACGGTCCCACCTTTCTATTCTCGTAACATTAATCGTCCTCAATGTTTTAGTGTACGACGCGACCGCGAAAGTACCTTCCGGCCTGCTCAGCGGGAATGTAAATCAGTTCGGCGATTTTGACGAGTGCCTCAGTGTCGAGGGCAAGGATGGCATACAGGGACAGTACTGTTTGGCGTACCTGCAGATAGACGTCGACGAGTCCCGGCCGGACCTCAAGTACCTGCACCGCCTGCTGCATTCGCATTACGCGTTTCGCAGCAATATGACCGACGTGAGTATATAACGCGCATTCTCGCGATGCGACACGCGATGTGATCAATCGTTTCGCAATCAATCGCCGCATCTTATCGCGATGTCTCACGTTCGCGAGAGCGGAACGGCCGAACGCTTTGGCACGTTGAATATCAAAATCGTGTGCTTACTGTACGCTATTTGCTCGCGGCTTCGCAATGAAACAGTGGGGAATGGGACATATATTCATATCAACATTTTTGCTTAAAATGACCGATACTATCACCTCCCAGAATTTTGACCTTTCCTCCTGGAACACCCGGTATATAATAGATAATGCAGGCAACTCGTGCCTCCCCGAACGAGAGCTGGAAATATCGTTCATTTTCGGACAGATTGTATTATCCCAGATAACAAATTTTGCTTGTCTTATGCATGCAAACTGTAGATTTGCCTGAGTTTTGCCCGTAAGATATGTTTAGTTTGTGCTTTTGCACGCAAGTGGTTAGCTCATGTATTAACGTATAATTTTGCGCGCAAATATCTAACAACTTACGTACAACGTAAGCAAAATCCTATCCAAGTGCGTCGTCACAATGCTAGATGTTTCCACGCAAAAGGTTTTCTGGGATTAGATAAAGCTAACTGATGAGACAAAATGAATTAAAGGAATTTACACGCGAATAAAACCGTAAATTGCACAATCTAGCGAAGGGGTCTGAAACTCCCGAATAAAAAGTATTTCCATATCGGTATTTCCCCGCGAACTTAATGTCCCCGGCATTTTAATGATCGGGCGCGGCGGATCATCGTCGGCGCGCACGTTTAATCTCTGATGAATATGTAGAAGACACGTGAATCCCTACGCCGCAGGATTTATGTAAATTGACGAAGTGGAGAGACATCGGCAACCGGATGTCGACGAAAAGACGCCCGGCGAGCGATCACGATGTAAGATGAATTTTAACGGAACAAAACTAGGTAACTACGTAAAAAAAAAAGTTGCTCGAAACAAAAAAATACTCGATTCTCTAGATAGTATCATTGATAGATATCTGGAGAGACTTGAGTTAAATTTAGATATGAGGAACCCGTTTCTACGGCTCTGAAAAATGTGCATACGAAATGACAAAAATCCCGTGACGTTATTTGTCGCGACGTACATCTCTGAATAATCAGATTTCGTGACCCGGAAGAAACTAATTTATCTTGACGTATTCTACAAGAAAAATCTCACAGAATTTCTCGCTTTTAACGTCACAATTCATATAGCTGCAGTGAGAAAAAATAGCAGCCTTAATTGAGAGACTTAAATAAGCGTGAAATAAAACGCGCAAGAATGAGGATTGATGAACCATACAGGAAATTTGCTTTGCTTATAGATATCGGCAGTCCGGTTATATCACAGTAACAGGCAATAACGCGCTACGTGACTAGTTACAATAATCGTCTGTAATGTTGCGTATCGCATAGCGGATTGATGCTAATGTTTATCGTTCAGTATATTGTTAGCATTGCTCACAGCGAGACACGAGAGCATTAATTATTGTTGCTTGACTGGCCAAATGCATCTATTAACTTTTATATTGTTTGTTCCACCTTCACGGAATCACAGAAATGATTTATAAAACGTCTCCGTCACCTTTATTCATGCCTCTAACAATCGAATCCTTTTAATAGACTTCCGCAAACGTCTACTCTCAAAAGCATGCGACGAGTATTTAAAAATACTTTGCCGCCGCAAGAATAATTTGTAGAAGATCCTCTCGGAAAGAAAAACCATCTTATTATCATGTTGGCCACGCATAATCGGGATAATAAAAATGTCAAGTTTCCCCAATGTTTCTTCAGACAGTGTTTTTAAGACTATACGTTTCATTGTGTTATAAATATTTATTGAAGCATACATAATGGTAATTTTCTACGGAGGCTCATCTGCGTAGAAATTACCATTACAGAAAATAGGAGAAAAAGAATCGCGTTATAGAATTTGTGGCACGGCGAAGAGAGGGCGTTATGGTAATTTCCAAGAATTTAATTTAGCAACTTCTGTTTTCAAATTTCCATCGTTTGTTGATTAATCTTTTCGACAATGGGCGTACAACGTAAAGATACGCTACGTCTATAGAGTAGATTAATTTTTGTTGACTGTCTGAGCGATGATTTGCTACGGATTATAAGAAGAGTAGTGAAGGTTTCGCGCTCACTATAATACTCTCTTTATCAGTTTTTGTATCAGATCACTGAAGAAGACCCGAGCATGGGTCGAAACGTTTGAACAAAAGAATATATCTTTTCACGTTTAAACCACGCATTGTGTTCCGCGTCTATTGGCCCACATTGGCCTTCCCCTCATCGTATTCCTTATCTTACAGATTATAATACTATTTCCATTTATCTGCAGCCCGGTCACAGAGTGCCGCGTTTCAGCAGCGTGAATTGGGCCATATGCACTCCCGCGTCATGTACGGCCCAAGACGTGAAAGCCTCTCTTCAACACACCATCTCAAAGTACACGGCCCAGACTGGTCTCAAAATCTCGCTACAGGTGGACCAGAATATGTGCCAAGTGAAGGGAGAACCCGTTTTGTCAAAAGCGACCATCGCCACCAGGTAAAATTATTTCTTTAAATCGTGCCAGGCATTGCAAAATAAGCAAACTTAAACTTGAACTTTGTTCAGTTACGTCCAGTTACGTGCGATAAATTTTTATCGGGGCGTTTACTGCAGATCTTAGCGAAAATGAAAGCCGAGTCAAAAAGTAAATCGAATAATCCATTCTGAGTTAATTTTTATGTTATGTTTTTCAGCCTTCTCTTCGTCACCGTACTCGTCCTGACTCTCGTAGCCGCGTACTACGATCATTGCGAAATACCGGCCAGCGAATTGCTCTTATCGTTCTCTTTGAAGCGCAACACCCTAAAATTATTCTCGTTGGAGAGACCGCAAGGCGACATAGCGTCGCTTCACGGTATCCGATTCTTGCACAGCGTCTTGCTGCTCGTAGCACACAAGAGTATGGCGGTATTCTTTAACCCTTACATAAATCGCACTTACATGGGCGAGGTACGTGTAAATTATCTATTTTCCAAGAATATATACGTAAACATACGTCTCGAGAACCACAAGTTCAAAAGATATTCGACATTGTTTCTCTCACAGATAAGCTTTCAAGATTCTAATCTCGTTATGAGCATATAAGTGAAATATATAATACGTTATTGGAAAACAATGCACACAATATACATAGAATATTATTTTACAAATATACTTTTAATAATGTGAATAAAATTTTATCTACTTGTCTATTCTGATCCCTAGTGTCACAATATATTGTGAGATGAATGCTTTTTCTTATTTAGCCAGTATGTCTGTTTAGCAATATTGCATCAATATTAGACCAATATTGTTATTACATTGTTAAATATTGGCCAATGCACTTCCAATATAAATCTAATATTATATAATTATTGTGCAATATTTACACTTGTTTCATGGCCAATATTGACTTTATGTTGGACAATATCGGCCAATACATTTCTAAAATGACCAACATTGGACCAATATTTAGCGAATGTGTAGCCAATGCACTGTGCCACTAGGGATTACTGTCGAACTTTGTAATGGATGCATATTGCTTGGAAATGAATGGGAATGTTTTGATGCAGTTCTTAGGCAAACCGTGGACCGTCATAGGAAGAGCGGCCAGTCTGTATACCGATCCGTTCATTATGCTGTCCGGTTTGTTAACGGCATACTCGTTCGTAGGTAGATTAAAAAGGACCGGGTCTTTGGACATTAAGAATGAATACTTGTCGCGCTTGCTAAGGTACTTACTGACGAGCGTCCCAATCAAATAATTGAAAACGGAAACTGGTTCTCTTTACGCACGATGTATGCCCGGTTTCAGGCTAGTGCCGACTCTAGGAGCGCTGATACTGTTCTGTACTTACATTATGCCGTACATCGGGTCTGGACCGCAGTGGCCGCTGGTGGTGACGAATCACGCGGAAATCTGCAAGAGAACATGGTGGCGGAATTTTTTATTTATTCACAATTACTTCGGATTCGAAAATATGGTAGGTAAAGCAAATAATCGTTATCGACTTTCAAAAAAGAAAATGAACAAGTAACTGCCCTTACAGAAATGTAACAAGGCACCGAACAATTACTAGAGAGTTCAGTAATTGAATTATTAGAAATTATTGATGGACAGTAATTTTTTTGTAATTATTTCGCTTACACTTCTGTAAGGGTGGACTCTCGAAATTCAAAATAGAAAGGATTCAAGCTATGAGAGTCAACGCGGTTATTTGTGCGTGTCAATATAATATAATTATTCAAATAAAATTCTTGATTACAAGTTCTTTCAAAAAAGAAATCTGAGACTGGGATGTCTTTAAAAAAAAAATAGTGGCAACGTTATTCCGACGCGTCTGATCTTCAGTCTGTCCACGTTAAGAGATAAACTATCTTTCTCTGCTTTCAGTGTCTTACGCACACGCATCACGTAGGGATAGACACGCAACTGTTCGCCATTTCACCCATAATGGTGTTGCTCTTGTATAAAAGGCCAAAGATCGGCGTTATTATACTCAGTATAATAGCCTCGATATCAACGCTAATGAGATTCTACGTCACATATACCAAAGATCTCAATAATTATGTATACTACGGCACGTCGTAAGTAAATCAACGTTGTGCTGCCTCAAGAAGAGATCAATTCTGATACGTTATTTATATCTCGTTTTTTTTCTTTTCCACGCAGGATAAGACAATTATTCGACACCGCGGATTATTCCTACACGTTACCGTCGCATAGACTGACTGTTTATATCATCGGTATCTTCGTGGGTTGTTTGCTCCGAAATATACCTAAGGACTTTAAGCTGGGCACAGTAAGTGACGTTGTATTGGCTACGTTCAGCAGAAAAGGCTACCGATGTAATAAATCTTGAAACTTGCGGTACTCCTAAATTCAGCCAAGATTATGTTGCAAAGCAGCCTTTTCAGCTGAACGCAGCCTATAATTAGAGAACTGGATGCAAAAACCAGGCTTCATTATTCATTAAAACGAAATTATAATTATTTAATATCACTATAAAACAGCTAATATACACTGAAAAAAATTTCTGGTTGAATATGGACGAATCAGATAATTCCTTTAGGATTTACCAGAATTCCTTTAGGATTTACCAGAATTCCTGTAGGATTACAGGAATTCTGGTAAATCCTAAAGGAATTATCTGATTCGTCCATATTCAACCAGAAATTTTTTTCAGTGTAGGAATCAATATATGTGTTTTATGTTTACAAGTTATCTACATTCAAATGTATCATTGTAGAAGGAAAAATGTAAAACAGTGATTTTTCAGACAGTTTTCTCTGGTTCTTGTAAAATTTACTAAAATGGAGCCACCTGGTCATTCCATCCAACTATCTACGCGTGCCAAACGAATACGCTAATCTTCAACGTTTTCAGACAGCCCTCTACACAGGCTGGACCATGTGCACCTTAATGTTCTTGGCGGCTTTCATCGGGCCCTCTAAAATGGGCTCTATCGACTACGTATACAACCCAATTCACGCGGCTACTTACAACGCGTTCGCACCTGTCGGATGGTGCGCCCTGTTCCTGTGGATTACGATAACGCAGCACATCGGGAGTTTAAACGGTAATCGTCGCATTGACGTTGCAAAATTAATATTTTATAAATATAGCAATCATAACACATGTTGCACTACTGTATCGCAGGAGTCTTGAACAGAATAATCTCTTGGCGAGGATTTCTCGTTACCACGAGGATCAGTTATGCCATCTATTTAACGCAATTCCCGATATTTTTCTACAACGTTGGACAAACCCGCAACGCGGAACACTACGAATTTTTCAGGATAATGGTAAGTCTTATACTTAAAACAGGGGTGATGTTTCTCCCGTCTTATCAGCTTTAATTATCCATTTATGAAATATTGTTTGATTAAATGATATTAATCGTTCAAAATATCTTATTTGTGTTTCAGATAAATGTAAAAGAATTGGCATGGATCGTTTTCATGTCGATAGTTCTCACGCTGCTGTTCGACACGCCGTTTCAGAATATAAAGAATTATATAATGAAAAAACCGGCATCAGAAAAGGCTATAACGAAATCATCCAAAGTGGAATAAGTTTTTTTAAAATTTCATCTTGATTTTGACCAAATATTTTAGCTTGATTACAATAGCTCGTCTGTGGCTTTGTACATAGCATTTTTAAATTAAATTTTTAATAATTAATGAATAATGCGTAGACAAATTGCGGTAGGAATGAAATATTAGAAAAAAAAGAATTTTGAGAGAAGAGATGTGCCTTTGTAAAAATTAATTCAAATTTTTGTTAAGTAGGAAAGTAATTAGTGAAATGCACTCAAATGAAGTGTGCTTATAAAAAAACATTCTCTCTTTTTTAATAAATGTCACCATTACATAATTAAAAAAATATTTGCCACACTTTTATATAATTTTAAATATAGCCATAAAAATACTTGTAAATATCAGTTTCTCGTTCATTTTCGCACACCATTAATAAACTTGGCATAAAGAAATCATTTTTTACACTCAGGCAACACAGTACCATACATAATTTATGATGACGGATTGACATTGCATGTATCAATCCCTCTCTTCGTATAAACAATAAATATATAAAAATACCGAATGATAATGTAGAATAAAGATTTGAAAAATAAATAATATTTGTGTATCTACATATCGGACACATAGCCAATGAAAAATTAGCAATTGTAATTAATACATTAAAGCAATCGTAATTTGCTTTAATTATTTCATTACATACCGATGAGGAAAGAGACAGGAGATTAATGATTTCGTATAGAAATGTTTTTTCACCAGGAGAAAAAATTATTCAGGAAATCTTGGACATTAAAATGAGTGATTGTCATTAATAATATTAAATACACATTTCATATAAGTTTTGTCTTGTCCTTTACTTTCATATGTATATATATTACGTAGATTATTTAAGGAATACAGCTTACATATAATTTTTCTTGGATGCAATTCTCGCCCATCACGCAGAATATAGCATAATGAATAGGATAAATGTTTAGAGTCAGTTATCACAATAATATACATAAATACACATAGATACAGAAAAAAAACTTAATATTAAAATTTATTGTTTCGAATCACTGAAAAAAAATTTTTATCGTACCGTATACGTGTTTACCATATAATCATTTATAATTATTGCAACATTTTTGTCTCATATAAAATGCATTTATGAAATTAAAGTAAATGATATACAAAGCTGCCTTATAATAGCTCATAATAAGTATTTACAACTATATCCATAGAAGTGGAGTATGCTTAGATCTTTTATCGATTTGGATACATAACTGAGCGGAAAAAGTCATATTTTGTATTGTTTAAATGTTAATTAATTTTTCGGTAGACTTATAGTTACACAAACTCTTCAAAAATGGAAAATTATTTCAAAGAATAAGTTCTTTGCAGGAAAATTATTTAAACAAATAATCTTCTATGTATCATAGGATTGCAAAAAGTTATCACATATGACAATTGTCTAATCCTATACCCTTAACAGTATTCATTCGCAAGATCAGTTCTCATTAACTTCTTTTATATTTGTAGTTACGTACGTTTTGCAATAGGCGGATGATATTACAAGAAAGCTCTAAACTGAGGCTGTTCTAGCTGAAAATAAAAGCATAAAACCATAACTGAGAGAAAAGAACGATAATTGAAGGAGAACGAAATAAATGTATTACAAATGATAAATAAAATGTAATTCTTGTAATCATCCTCTAAATAAGGTAATCTCTACATGTTACAACTTTTAACAAGCAACACCGACGAATGTATTTAATTATGCCATATTATATGAATAGAGTCACATTTGATAGGAATATATATATATATGCAATTAATATATATAACGCATACCCATGCGTTAATTATCAATTATAAACTAGTTATAAATGCATCAGTGGTACAGCAATATTATTTGAGTACATGCAACATATTGCATTGTACAAAACTCGAATAGATGCTCAAATAATGTTTCAAATAATCAGAAATTTCATATTTGAGATACAAGTATGTAACTTTTCCTATATTATCTTTATATATCGTAATTTTATACATCTAATTTTATATATATATATATGGCATTAATAGAACTGATTTTTATAACATATAAAGCGTACGATATCAATGTAAGTCTCTCGGAATAGCACATCATTAAACGGACAGTTAAATTGCATACAATCTAAAAATTAGTTAATAGAAGTTTAGTAACTAAAATTACATGCAGTTCATTCTGCACATATCTATGTTAAATACATCACTACTAAAAAAGCAAATTTGAATATAGAATGGCTACTTTTCAGGAATATATAAATTTAATACGCAATATTTTATATTGCGTTGCTTGGCTTAAATATAATTAGCATTTCAATGTTAGATCATAAGCAGAGAAATGTCTGTAACATAAGATTTTTTAATTATATTCAAACATAAATATTTGTTTATCCACTTATCGTAATACATTACAATATCGAGTCATAAATACCTGTTTTACTCCCAGATTTTGGCTTACAATAAACCCAGAAGTTTAAGAGAAATCTCTATTCGGGAAAACGGCAGGCGCTACCAATGACCACACATAAAGACCCAGACACATCCATGACGAAATAATCTTCACCCACATTGAAGCGTTGTTTGCATTTAAAGTCTCCAGACTGGAGTTTGGCCTATTGAAGTATCGATGTAGTGACGACAAGACGTATTAAAACAACAGTTTAACATTATAACATTATAGATACGCACTTATACCAGTTTGTAAGTGTCATCATAACATACAAAGTAGCGAGAGAAAACATGAGATGGAAAAAACTCCAATTATATGCCACTTTTTCTTCTTCATTGTCCCAAACTTTGGCCTCGTTTCCACCCTCCGCATCGGGATTACGTCCTTCTACTGTAGCATAATCTGGTTACATTTAGGAAAACGAGAAATAACACAAAAGAAAAAGCTACTAAGCTGCAAATAAAAGTACTAAGCAAGCACTGCTTTTCATAATGCTGCATGCTACAAAATACACGTGTGCATAGGGTATTACTTGGCATTTCATCACATACGTGTCGAAATTATAGAAAAATCTTCTAGAAATTAATTTGCAGCACTCAAAATACTTAATTCTAATATTACAAAAATTATATCGTAACGTTTGCGATAACAAATGTAACATGTGCAGAGAGGGGGCATAAAGATAAACACACACTAACTACTAAGCAAAGTAGTATCTCTTGTTGCTTCATCATACCGTATAATTATAAATATGGACTAAATGTTTTCTAATATCTAAACAAAATATGTAAACCATTCGATAACTTGATCTGTGCAAACGAATAATGAAACATACGGGTATATGTTTTCAAAGGAATGCAAATAATCAAGATTCATGACAAGAAAGTAAACTTGTAAAATAGTGTGTGCCTACCTTCATTGCCGATAAGAGACTGCTCTCCCGTATTCCTAACTACAGAAAGATCGATATTTAATACAAAAAGAGATAATACCGTAGATGCACTAAGATACTTTTAGGAACGGTTAGGATTTCCATAAGAAGGAACAGCACGCTTTCACAGACGTAGTTGCTAAAACATACAAACATCCAACCAATATTTACCAGCTCCATTATCTTGAACCAACACATTCTCGGACATTGTAATCTTTGATGACTTGGACGCCGTACGTAAGGAACTGTATAGAACGCAGCTAAACCATATTATCAGTCCAATAATGCTTTCCTTGTCGAACGCAATACGATTCTCTTTCGACAGGCCAGGGATGAAGCCAGGATTACACTCGTGATCTGTAAGTTCAAGTAATAACAATCGAGAATAAAAATATGGATCGCTGACTAATAGCATCTACCCTACATCATCGATATCTACCTGGACTGTTTGATATACCGCTCCATGTTAAGTAGACAACATATAATGTCACTACAGAGGACTGAAGAAGTCCGGATCGCGGCTGATGTTCTTGTACAGTCGGTAAAATTGATACGACACCGGTGATGACACACAAAATCAAATTGAACGAGATGAAGAACTTGTTCAGCGCGCAATCACCTTGCTGTAAATATAATACGAATGAGCAATTGTATCCTGTGTTTTGCAGCGGATCTGGTTTTAACGCTAGATAAAGATGTATAATTAAGAATCATACATGCGTATAATACACGTAAAGCAGCACCGCTCCAGTAATAGAAATGGCATAATTGAAGAAAGTTGCACCCAGCAGTGCGGCATACCTAAAAGAATTCCATACATTTGATAACAAAAACGTCTGCGTCGCGGGATTACGCATTTATATTTGCTACAGGCATGACTTTTACCATCCTTTCGACTCGGTCTCCTCATAATTTCCTACCCAAGCGTCAGCCCAAGAGTGGGCGAAGTCAACGATTAGAATCAACTGGATAATTATGAAGAGGAAACCTCCCAACATCCCAAAGTACATCCAACTAGATCCGAATGACCTCTCCGGGATGAAGAAGGCACCGACGATCCCTCCGATTATCAAGAGATACTTGATCGCCCAGAATCTAAAGAATTTCATGTAAACGTCACGAGTCGCAGTTTCAGGTGCAACAGCCTGACACGCGCCAATTCGATTTTTACCCGTTTTGTATGGCCGCCCGTGGATCCCGTGAACTTCTCACCCTGATCATTATTACGGACATCAAGAAAAAGAATAAGGAGATAATGAAACATATTCTATAGACTGCCAAGTAGCCGACCGCGTGATCGCAGTCGACGGTGACTTCCGACGGGACGTAATTGGAACTGTTTGTACAGAACGGGACCTGTTTGAAAAGAGAAAGACGCAGGGTTAACGCGCTCACATGGCGTCAGCCAAATTACTTGACATCGTTTCCGGCGTTACCTTCTTGAGAGCGCCTTGGAGACCAGGTGCCAGAGTGATGCAGGCTGCGATTGTTCCCAGCAACAGGAGCAGCGCATACATGATGCGAGTGCTCGTGCTGTTCCTGCACGAGGGACATTGCGAGCAGCATAAGCTGCAGGCTGTGCTCCCGCACAAGCACGCGAGCTATGCGACAAAGGGGAACGACGTGAGGCTCGGGTAATTCGTAAATCAATAAAAAAAATAATGCAGAACGGACGTTTTATAAATGACCCATTTTAACAGTGTTGTAATGTTTCTATCGTGGTAGAGGGAAGCTTTAAAAATAGCTCTGACACACCGCGTTCTTTCTTACTGCGTATATTAAAATCAATATCAGACATGTATATGTATAATTGAATAACAAACACCACGGCACGATTAGATATTCGATGAATCGTGCACCAGCAAAGTTCTCCACGCTACACATTAAAGTGAAATTGAAATCAGACCAAGCGCACTGCAAATAAGAAACAATTAAGTCTAAGGTTAAGTCTTTGTCCACAGAGACAAGACGACAAACATGACTAGCGTCTATTCTCGAGACGGACAACGGAATGTCACGCCGCGGTTGCGAAACGATGCGCAAATCGCCTGCGAATAAACTGGGAGAGACGCTGCCGCTGTTTTCGGCAAGGCTGCTGGCAGAGAACGATCCGTAAACGCTTGAAACGGTCTTAGTCGTAGACGTAAGGCAAGGTAGAGAAAAGTTAAAGTCTATTCTGCACGACTTGAGTTTTTCTCCGCCTTGCCTCTCGTCTACAACCAACAATAAAGACAGACTCAAAGCGTTAACGAAGCGTTCTCTGCCATCAGCCTAAGTAACGAGGAAGTGAAAGATCTGCGTCTCTGGGAAGGATGACTCAGATGTTATCTGTCCGAGTTATCGGCCTACCTGAGCCGTCGAGCACACGAGACCCATGGCGACAGTCTCCTGTCGTCCGAGCTATCGAGGGAGGCCGGGGAAAGTTGCCTCGCGAGAGGACTGGAAGAGACTCGGGAGGGAAAGACTGGAAGAGAACCGAAATAGAACGGGGGAAACACCACGGACAGGCGCGACGACAATAGACGCACTGACGATACAACCGCCACCCGCGGGCAACTTCGGGCGATCAGCTGACCGCGACGTCACACGTTTCACGGCTCGCCGCTTCGCGGCGCACTTCGCGCGACTCCGGCGCCCATTGATTGGTCAAGCGAGCCGCCGTCGTCGGCGCAGAGAGAAGCGCCAGTACCGCAGCGCAGCGCGAGCAGTGCTGGGCAGCACGGTCTTCGGTCACGGTGGTTTCTGCGGATCACTGCGGATCGTGCTCGCGTGTTTGCGCGTTGCCATCATCGCTAAAAAAAAAAAAGGAACACGCGCGGAGAACGGAACCGGGACGGATTGTACGCACACGCCGATGCCTGCGAGCGTAAGCGACCTTATTTACCTCGATCACCGCAAGCGGGCTGCCGCCGCGTGTTCGTCGACTCATTGTCGCGCGACGTCCGAACGCGTTAACTGTCGATGAAATTCTTCCTGAAACGGAGTTTCGCGGATGTGAGAGACGCACGCCAAGTTATCGACGTGCATTCGACACTCGGGGTGTCGGCCGGCCGAGTGACCCGAGGCCCGTGACAAGGCCGAGGCGAAGAGCCGCGCGAGTGGGAATCCCTGTTATGTTAATATTAATAAAATGTATGCAGGCGCCGTGGATTTAATTATGTCGCTCGTACAACTCCGGATTACTTAGGCGCGAGTTTTACTCGCATTTATCTGCATTAATTTGCGCCTTTAATACGACGTTGCGTATCGCGTTTCTGACTTCGGTGATGAATGCGGATGTAAATTTCCTGCATTCCGCACACATACCGATATGGTTTCAATTATTTTATAAATCCGACGATGACGTTCTTCTCGCGAGACTCTAAGGTCCGGTTTCACCAACGTCGCTTAACTTTAAGATTAGTTTAATGTTACTTTAGAAAGAGACAAAGAACGAATTGAGCTATAAGGCTTAAAGTTAAACAACGTTGGTGAAACCGGGCCTTAATTTTCCCTGACGAAAGCTTTCTGAGCCTCCCTTATCGAGAGACTCTCAAGGAACTCTCTCTATTGTCCGTTTCTACCGATGCAGATTAACTTTAATCTCGGGTTTAAGTGCTTCTTGTCTTCATCTAATTTTCAAAACTACACGGGGAGAATTTTCTCTTAAAGTTTATCCTGAAAGTCATGTAATCGTGGGACAAGACGGCATTTCGAAGGATTTTATTAGAGTTTTTTGAAAATTTGCCACACTTTTTAAAGTATACATTTTATTAGTAAAATGTATGGTAAAAACTCATAAAATTCTTCAAAATGCCACGTTTGTCCCACGATTACTTGAATTTTAGGATAAATTAAAAAAAAATTCTCTCCGTGTAGTTTACATTTATTTTATTTAAGTATTTAAGTATTTAATAAATACTTAAATTAAAGAAATGCATGTTCTAATTTGTTTATTATTTTTTAATTTAAGTTAATAAGCTATTAGGAGAACTATCTTATTTTGACAATAGAATCATTTAATCATTATAATTTTCGATTTGAAAATGTATTATCTTCTATCCAATATTATTTCCTTTCCAATCAAGAAGATTATTCTTCAATAATAAGCATATATTTTTCTTGGTTGAATTATATAAAATTGCTTCATTCAAGTAAGTTTCTTGTTTTAACGCAATATAATTTCATTTCAAGATTTTCACGTTGAAACTAAACCTGTTTTCGAAAGAAAAATAGGTATACTTTTTTCTGTGTACGGAATATTTTAAACACACGCGTGAGAACGGATCGCGTCTGTAATCCGTATATACCTCGCTGCACAAAATTAAGCTAAGTTTAGATTTCTGCTAAACGGCATCTGTTCCGCGAGAGGCGAGGGCATTTCGCGCGGCCGCGGCTCCACTTCTTCGTGTGCGGATAATTGATTTTCGCGGTGATCGCGAGCGTGGGTCGCACCTTTGTCAACAATTACAAAGGCTCGTAAACATTATCTTATCGTTATGAATCACCCATTCCCCTCTTCCCGCCGCGACATTTCGTAACGGTAGAAACTGCAAGATACGACTCAGTTGTCCGAGCACTGGTACGAGCTGAAAAAGAATCCATTCCTCGCGTTTATCAGCTTTAATGACTTCTATGCACGCGTGTCGCAACACGGCAATTATTTATGTTATCACATTGTTCCAAAGATGAGTGCCAGATTAGTTACTTCACGCAGCGTTGTATACGAAGGCCTCGAAATTCTTTCGCCGTCTAACTTGTAACGTCATTTACCTCATTACGGCACGCGATAGAAAAACAATTTCGAAGAAATTCGAAAAGAAGATATAAAATAATCTCGAGAAAAACACAATAAATATCTCCTAAAAATGTAGACGCGACATTGAATGCGATAACGATATCAAGAAAAATTCTGCAATCACTTTCTTGACGCTTTAAAATATTTCCGTGTAAATGATGTTTATTAGCTGATCGTCTTATTGCTAAATATATGCTCTTATTACGGCCGGACATAGTCGGATCTTATATTCAAGACCGTCTTGAATCCATCTAAAAATGCTGTATGGAACATTTCATTGGCTACGGAGTATCTAAAGATGATCTTAAGACGGTTTTGAATATAAAATCTGACTATGAATCCCAGCCTATGTCTTTATTATATCTTCTTGATTGGATTTGCAACAAGTATTTGCACCTAAATTAATTGGTAGAGAATAAGTATTGAAAATTTTTCCGCCGCAAAAACTTGCACGAGAAGTCTCTTATCCACAGTAACTTGAGAATTTGTTAAATATCTCCGCTTTAGATCACGTTCTTTTTTTTTTTAATAAAATGCATAAATACCTCTTGTAGTAGCGGGTAGCAAACTGACATAATTTGTCGTCATTTAGACGTCGTGTCGATAAAAGTAAAAATGACGTCAGCTTGCTACGCCACTTGGGATGCTAAATATAGAGGAAAGTCCCCTATTATGAGACAGGCTCGTAATATCAGACAGCTTTCTACTAAATCAATAGGCATCGTCTGTTGGTTCCACCATGAATTTGTTGCACTTTACTGAAAAAAAAGTGTTCGCTACCATAGCTATAAATCATGATTTGCTAAAAATATTTTGCTACCATAATTATTTTCTAAACTACGGCAAACGATTTGCTGTCGCACCTAATACAATAGGCACAGTAGCAAAATCTATTAGCTATCACAACTAAATATTAGCTGTTCATATTTTACAACTGAAATTTAGTTACCACATGCAGTTTTTAGCTACGACAGCTGCATTTTTTCCCCGTGAAGTGAGACCTGTTTAGCGGAAAATTTACTGTTAGATTGAGTAATCACCGTGAAAAAAAGATTGTGATTGAATTTGGATGTTGAAAACCTGCTGTCTCATATTAGAAGCCTATCACACAATAGGGGACTTTTCTCTATGCATAATAATTTCCAAGAGCTTGATTCGAAACGCTACGTTACTCCATAAATTTTGCCAATTGCATAAAAATATATATCTGCAAACGCGAAAGCAAGAAAGTTTTGCTATGCCTCGTAATCGTTTAAAGTATTCTTAGTTTCGTACGACAAAAGAAATAATCGACGTGTACTTGTTTTGATCGCGGTATACGTAATTTATCGCGCCCGATATACCGCGTATCTCGCCTTTGGCAAGGTTGTCGCCGTTTGGTCCAGCCCGTGCCTGCCGTCACAAAATTTTATGTTCTCTCTGATCTTAAAGGTCACCACGAATTACGTTGATACGACCTAATGCGCCTAGTTATTCTAGCGACTACGCAACGGAGCAATTTACAAGTTAAATCTATATGTATATCTCAGATCTCGGCATCGACGGGATCGCGACAGCGTTTCATTAATTTTGCTGAATGTAGAACAAACGAATACGCGCAGTTGACTGTGTCATCCTATTAGCCTGATATTACATTTTTAGTCTTCTCTCTCTCTCTTTCTCTCTCTCTTGAGAGACCAAATTATTTTGTTGTTTGTCTACATCTGTTCGTTTACATTAAATTTAATCAAATTATTTTGTTGGGGGAACAAAACAATTTGTTCTGTTGAAGACACAAAATTATTTTTCCTAGTGTATATTGTTATCTTCTTTGTTGGAGCAATTTTTCGAAAAGCGCAGACGCGACTTGAGCATAGGATTCCGTTTGTGCGCCAAGAGACCTCAAATTGCTTTACGATAAAAAGATTCGTTTGTCACTTGCAGAACAACCGAGATCTGATTGACAGTAACCGATAAGATCTGATAGAAACTAAGGATGGAAGGAGAGTCGGAAAACAATGTTTCCAACAAAGATTCCAAACCAGTTACTTGGCCGTACATGAACGTCAGCTCGCTGACCGTGTCATTTCTGACTAAGCTGGCGGCGGCCGGCTTCATCTGGGGATGGGGATACTTCAACTACAGCATAGCCTGGCTAATCGCGCCAATCGCGTTGTCCGTGTGGAAGGCAGAGCGGAAAAAGGACAACGAGTTGAGGACGATTACGGCACAGGCGAGTGTGCTGGCCAAGGAAAAGGAACTGATCGTCAGTCGAATGAACGAATTACCCTCGTGGGTATATTTCCCGGACTTCGATAGAGCCGAATGGCTAAACAGAGTATGGATTACAGTTTTTCTCGTATTACGTTCTAACATTTCTCGTACAAAGTATGGAGATTTAACTGCTCAACGGTTCCAGACGAGGGGTAAACCGCTGAGGGCATTGTGGTGCACAGATTTGCGACATTACTGGGCATTATTAGGCATTTTTTTGGGACATTAGACCTTGCAGGGACATTATGAAAATAAAATAAGATAAGAAGATAAAGTAATGCCCATTGATTTTAGTCAGCGGTTTACCCCTCGGTTCCGGAGAGATGGGAATCTTGATACTATTTATTATAATCTTATATCCCACCCTTTCAGATCCTGTACAAAGTGTGGCCAAGTATGAATCAGTTTGTCCGTCAACTATGCAAGCAAAGTATAGAACCGTCGATTGTTGAGAAACTGACTGAATATAAAATCAAAGGCTTTCAATTTGACCGTCTAGTTCTAGGTCGCATTGTGAGTTCATTTCAATTTCGTTTTAAACTCTTTTGTACAGCGTTTCTCCCCTTTCCTTCTTAATATTTCTGTCTTGCGATTCTTTTTATATCTTTGCTAAAATTTATGAGACGTTCTTCTGCAGCCACCAAAAATATATGGGATCAAAGTGTACGATAAAAATACCTCAAGAAATGAGATTATCTTAGATGCAGACATTATGTGTGTATTCCAGATCTTTTTCGCCAAGTATAATTAATATTTTTAAAAAGTTACTTATTTCAATCATTATTCTTGTAGGTATGCTGGTGACTGTGATATTACCTTTTTCGTTGGAAACATTAAAGGTGGTATTAGGGACTTTCAAGTGAGTATATGATGGCCGACACACGAGTGGAAAATACTTTCTGCAATTTTTAATAAAAATGTAAAACTTTTCAGATACATGGTCTAGTACGCGTTGTCATGAAACCTATGCTGCCGATGATACCGTTAATCGGAGGTGTACAGATATTCTACTTGAATGTACCTACTATTAACTTCAATTTAGTAGGAGTGGCTGATGTGTTAGATCTACCTGGGTTCAAGTATGATTAACAAAGAAAATATTTTACTCTAAAACATGACAAGCAATTAGCGTTGCTGCTTAAATAAAAATGTATGCAAGAACACGATGCTTCTTTCAGTGAAATTTTAAGGAAGACAATCATTGAACAGATAGCAGCCATTGTTGTATTGCCAAACAAAATAATTATACCCTTAAGCGAGGAAATACCCATGGAGTCCTTAAAAATACCCGAGCCTGAAGTAAGCTCTGCAGAAATGTCTCATATTATTCTTACTAGTTTTTTTTTTTGTAATTAACATTTTAATCTTTTCTTATACAAGGGTGTTCTAAGAATTCACGTGGTAGAAGCAAAGCATCTGATGAAAAAAGATATTGGGATGTTAGGTAAGGGCAAGTCTGATCCGTATGCCGTCATAAATGTTGGTGCCCAGGAATTCAGAACGAAAACTATCGACAACACCGTTAACCCGAAATGGGACTTCTGGTGTGAGGTACGTGTGATATTTCGCAAACACGAAATATTAACAACGTTTAATGCATGTGCTTTGCTGTAATCTACGAACATATATTTTTCGAAAACAAAAGATACAACACAAGGTCTTCTATACATGTGGTAAGAAAAATATTTCAGTAATTTACAAAATGAGACTTTTTTGAAAGAACTTTCTACAGTCTAATTTCATCCTGTTACTCCATTCAGTTAGCGGTACAAATGAGATATACCACTCTCTTGCATTTAACTTTCTCATAAAAATAATGGATGAACATTTTTTTATGTTATAGCCTTTAAATATTCAATACATTGCTGATCTAGCGTTCTACATAACGAACTATTCTGTGCTTTCTCACATACTTCATACATATAATTTCTAATCAACCGCAGACACCTTTTTTTCCCTGCGTCTACATATCCTCTTTCCTGTCATTCTTAGTGATTAGTGTTGTCTCTTCCGGTCTACAATTAGAATGCACATTTTATTCTTTCTATGTCAATATACTTTAATTCCATAAGTTGGTATGTATGTGTGTATGTGATGTGCAATATATTATATGGGATTAGTGTGCCGTGACTTCTGCCATCGCGCAACAACTGACTGTACAACTGTGGGACTATGATGACACAAAGGGCGATGAATGTCTTGGAAGGTACAGTTTTATATAACATTACGTACTTTTTCCCATCTTTTATCAGTCATTTCAGATTTCATGTCATTACGCAGAGACGAATTCGAAACTAGATTCCACAATATATGTTACACAATTATCTCTCTTGTCGATCGATGTTTACTGTATAATTTTTATTGCAATGCACATCCTGAAATCATTTATCCAATATTCATTCAACTTTTTTTACCGATCTACGGAAAAAGCTGTGGAAAAGCTTCTGTCGCATGATGTCATAATGCTAATGTGTAATAACATTATGTCGTTGGTCTATGGAGTATCGTTTGAGTGATATTTGTGTGCATGCTGGGGTTCTCATTTTATCTTATTAATTTTTTACTAACACATTTTATATTGGACACATAAAGAGATAAAATCGTCATGTTGCAAAGTAAATATTGCAATCATTGTTCAGATACAATTCCGTGCATCACGTTTACGAGATTCATAATAAATACACTATTCGGCATACACTATACATAGCGCAGCAATGTAAAACACGGAAAGAAAAGTAACGAATTCAATGAACGATACATGGGTATTGTAAGAAAACTTGTCACTCTTATACGTTTTGATATTTGTTATACAATATGATATTGGCACACAGGCTATGATCAGTTCATGCAATATGCAAGAAGCTGTGGTATCTCTTTGGGATTGGGACGCAAATGTCCCAGGGGTACTGTATGATGATTTCCTTGGCAGGTAGTAATATTATGATTTGTGAATGACGCAACGTTTGCGTGTGCACCACTAACAAAAATGTATAGACTCAGATTTGGATGTTATATCTTAAGCATGTGATTCTGTACGTTCGTTAACACTTGTCTCTCTAGTATAGTGTATGTTATCTATATAAATTATTAAGTAAATAATCTCTTTTGTCTATCACTATTTTCAAAGATTTATCTCACTAATGCTGCAAGTATTATAGCTTGTTAAACGCGCGTTGCACGAATATTTTCTATTTGTTATACCGTATAGTAAATTCTTTATCATTCTTTTAAAATAAGGTATATGTACAATTCCAGAGTCGTATTACTTTTCGTCTTTCTTTAAAATCTTTTCTGTACTCCCTAATTTTTAGTGTATTGATTAATAGTCTGCGTAGATTTTATTAATCTGTTGTTGAATAATTAACTGAAACAGTTTGTTGGTTTTCACCTTTTTTTGTAACAAAAGAATATCGTATGATTAACGGTTTGGTCTTTTTTTGTCAGTCAATTAATCAGAGTGATTAGGTGACTTTGTTTAATAAGAAATGCAACTAAAATAGACTGTGTGGTGACAGTTTATAGTGGAAGAGGGCTTGGGAGCTTACAACACGGTGGTTGCCCAGCTCTTTGACAAAGACAACGCTGCTCAAGACGATCCACTTGGCAGGTATTCCTGAATGTAGCAAATACACAGACCTCAGATCGGATTAATAATGCATTTTAAGAGACTTGTACAGAATGTCAATTATGCGGATACTCTGCCGTTATTAGATTATGCTTGAAAGGCTGCATTTTTCTTATTATATGAGTTACCTCTGAAATGCCGCAGCGCATTTAAAGTATTTGAAACGTAAGCATTAATCACATATATGTGATGTGCATGCCGTTTACTCAAACTCGGGTAATGTGATACACGAAAAATATTATGGAACTGTCGTGCCACTCGCAATTCGGAATTAAAGATAATTCCGAATCCATGTCACCACATTACTCTCTCTTTCTCTCGTTATATATCAAGCACACACTGAGAAGTCTATTTTATTTACGCAATAAAGTAACGCTGTGGAATGTTGCATGCCCAGTTTTATAAACGTATATTTACCTAACGCGCAATGATGTTTTCGCATCATTACTCGACGATAAAATCACAAGTGCATAACAAAAATAATATACAGCATGAAAGCTTCCCAGATGAAAATTGTATCACAGATCTTGCATTCGAGTCACAAAGGTATTTTGTATGTAAATTTAATAATCATACTGCTATCATCATCATTGCCAAGTACACATCTAAACTTTGCTGAAATAATTATTTATCCTTAAAAACCGATTGAGAACTCGTTATATGTAATTTCAAATCTTTGAAAAGATCCATCTTTATTTTGTATTGCGACAGGGCCACCATCGAAGTTAATCAAGTGAAGAAAAAGGGCGTGATCGATACAGTAAGTACGGAATTTATCTTATACAATCTTGTTCCTGTTACTAATCGATCCTATTTTACAGTGGGTCTCGCTGGAGCAAGCGAAACACGGCATGGTTCATTTGCGATTATCGTGGCTGCAATTTTCTAAAGACCCTGCCGATTTAAGAGCTGTAAGTAGGAAAAACGCTCTCGTATATCTTTATGAAGGCTTGTCCGTTTTTTACATTAATAACTCTTGCACAGGCTCTGATAGAAACTCAGGAACTTAGAGTTACATCGATGAGCACGGCCGTTCTTATACTTTATGTCGATTCTGCGAAAAATTTGCCGGTACGTACGTACGTCGCGATGAGAGAGAAGCGCGAGAGTTAGCTAATAAAATTTCTAACACCCGTAGTGCATTCGAGGAAATAAACAGCCCGACGTTTACCTGGAAGCGAGCGTGGGTGGAAAGAAAGAGAGAACAGCCACTGTACCACGCTCTTGTGATCCTGTATGGGAACGAGGATTCACCTTTTTAGTTAGCAACCCCGAAACTGGAATTTTGCACATAAAGGTTTCCTGCAAATTCTTTCAGCTAGCACGAGAGACACAAGCTTTAACGTTGTTTAATAAATAACCGCGCGTTTTCTCTTCAGATTATAGATGAGAAAACTGCCATGACAGTCGGGGAAATGAGCTATAATATTTCCCTGCTTTTGGAAAAGAATAATCTCGCGTTGACGCAACAACCGTACGACTTGCAGAAGGCCGAGGCGGACAGCAAGCTCGTCATGTCGATGTCGTTAAATGTAAATAACTGAGAATGTGATAAATAGAGTTAAATCAGGACCATTATAATGGACATTTTATATTCACGCAATCTAATGAGGAAACTGGATGTGCCAGCAGGTATAAAAGCAATCTGTCTTTACAGATCCTGAAGTATGAACAGCCCGAACCCACCTCTGAGGAAGATGAAGATAATCACGACATCAATGAATTGAATAAACGAATCGAACGTCAGGAGTCTACCATTAGTAACGTGTTATCTTCGAGTGGTGAGTGGAATCGTGTTAATATCGCTGGAAATCTCTCACTTTTTTGACTCGAGCAGAGCGTCTTGCTTATAAAAGCATTTTCCTAAATTCTTGGCAAACAGACACGAAGCTTTACTATGCTTCTATATTTTCTTACAGTGCCATCGAGTCCTCTTAAAAAACAGCCGTCGAAAGAATCGGTCAACAGTCAACCTCGCAACGCTGGATCCGCCGCGGCGCTTTTGCCCGAGGAACCAGCAGCGGTGGAGGACGAATTAATCATCAGCACCAGCGCTCCGTCTTCCTTCACCGGAAGCCCCCAGCTTATCCATAGAAATCCGAGCATCACGTCTTCCGCGGGCGAAGCGAAATTAGGGAGGATACAACTGACTATACGTTACAGTATGCAAAGGCAGAAGCTTACAGTTTTCGTTCACAAAGTTGCGTAAGTTAATCTCGCTTAGTCGAGGCACGACATCTCGTATTCGTCACAGTTAGCTTTGTATCATATGTTATATTGCAGTAATCTGCCGCTTCCCCAAAATGATCCGCATAACATACCGGATCCATACGTGAAGCTCTACATTTTGCCGGACAGGCATAAAGAATCGAAGCGCAAAACCGCTGTGGTGAAGGACAACTGCAACCCGACGTTCGACGAGCAGTTCGAGTACGTGGTCTCGCAGGGAGATTTGAACACGCGCGTGTTAGAAGTGTCTGTATGCACGCAAAAGGGCTGGCTGTCCACCGGGAGCAACGTGATGGGACAGATTCACTTGAAGTTGAACGAGATCAACATCTCGAAGACAGTCACCAGCTGGTACGACTTACAACCGGAGATTAAAGACTAGAAGAAGAGGAAAAGTAAGTGGGGATTCGACCGTTTGTGCGTCTGCCTAACGAAGCAACCGCTTAAATTCCCACTTAATAACTTGTACAAACAATGAAAGTCTCAGCTGTTACGATTATCTCTATATTACGTTGCTCGTTATTGTTGAATTGATGATTTATTAAAGTTACTATGCGGTGCTACGCGAGGACGCGAGACGTCTTGCGAGGAAACGAAAGATATTATTTAATGCGATTTTCGTACTTACGCCGTATAATGGCATGAAATGATCTGATATATTTATAATGTTGCCGCAACCACAAAGCACAGGCGGATTAGTCTAGTAATTTGAAATTCCCAATAATCTGTATTTGTTTTAAAATATTTTAAGACGATAGACGCGCGCGCGACAAGATCGGATCTCGTTTTATCCCGCGTTTGAAAGTGTGTCTAGAACAGTTAAACGCTGGACGTTTAATTGAAGAATACATTTGGCATGCGATGCGTGTTACGTCCGCGAATTGTGAGAGTGAGTATTCGTGGCTCGTGAGAATGTAAGAAAATTGAAAATATCTCGTACCCCAACGCCGATCCGCGTCTGGCATTAAATTTATTTTGTACTTTACTTACTATGTTTTGTGCGACGATTGAGTTGCGGCACAAGACGCGCACTATGTGCAGACACTACTACCGAATGATCTGAATAATGCAGTATATAACACGATTAATTTATATGCTTACGAAAGCTAGTTATGTAAGATGCCGTTTTCGCAATATTGTGTTCCACGACTTTTCCTGTACTATGTTCCAACTACTTTGTTTTGATACTAATACTACAGTTAAATAATGCATTTACCAGCTGCACAAGCAATTAAATGGGTAATTATACTAATATTTGAAATAATTCGTATTTTATAAGACACACATTGGTATACACATTATACATCGGTATAGTTTTAAGATGGCACTCTTGAAATCAAATTATTATATACGCTTTATATTTGTATTGGAGATTTTGCTACATTATACAATATATATGTACACACGTGAATATATCTATGTATCTATATTCTGTGACGCACGACTCTGTCAATACTGTCACAAATTGTTGAGAACAATAAATATTATGTGCATTGTCACCGCTCGTTACTTCGTGGCTACGTTAAAATAATAAATTCCGGTTTGCATTTAATTTTTAAAAACGATGTATCTGTTCCCGTAAAAATGTATTAGGAATTTATCAGGAATTGTATAAATTGATTTGTTGCTCTCTCGTCCCCAAAGTACATCGGTAATTAGATAAGAAGACGCTTCTACCTCTTCCGTAAAAATCCCCGTGCGTTCTCTCCCCGCGTATTACCGTATAGATCCAACGATCACCAAGGAAACTCAACGATGTAACGTGAACATGGCACTCCTTATCAGTAACATTCTCGCAGTACCAAGTTTTTGTATCAATCGTGCGTCCTCTCTGCGCCGTTCGTAATGAATTTGTAACTCGAGCGAGAATTTAACTGCGAATTGATAGAATTTTTATCAGTATGCAACGGGCACCGACGTTACCTTGCCTCCCGGGCTTTAGCGTCGATAGAAACGTGAGTAATCTCATATTTGTAACACATGGTTACGATAAGATTGCGCGTCGTTACTAATATTAGCATCTGATAAAATATATTTCACTAACTGTAAAATATAGGCGCAATATGAAATATTAATGCGCGCAAAGAGAAAGATTTACATTTAATATATCTGGCAGCTTGGTAGAACGAGATTTCACAAGAGCCAACATTTCGACAAGATACACGATGGAGTTTATTATTTAGTCGAGAAAGCGGATACGAGAGCATACAGCCGTTATTCAACCCTCTACCCCCGAGGGGAGGAGCCAGAGATCCCACCATGGCTTGCATACGATGGCCAAGTATGATTGACAGTAAATGCGCCTCATTAAAATGAAATTTTACATAATACTCTTTATACTTTATATAATAATTATAATAAGACCTCTTAAGGAATTCTTTTACACGTTATATAATAATTCTAATGAAACGAAATAGATGAATTCCTTATTTTGTTCAAATGCTAAAGTGACTCTAATCAATGTTATTTGTTCTAATTGCGATTTTTAGAGACTCATGTTCAAAGCGTTTTTCCAAGAGACCGTGCAAGAGAAGTGGAAGACAGCCTTCCACGTTCGCGTGGTGAACATCAGCTTCTTCCTAGAGGACGGAACGATGAAAATCGTAGAGCCGTCCGTGGACAATAGTGGTCTTGAGCAAGGTTCAACGGTGCATTTCCTTTTCGTAATTCACTCGCGGCAGGACTACATTAAGCTCTTTACTTTTGCATTTTGTTACACTTTTTATCTTAGTGGAAAACTCGGAGCAGAAATAGAAAATGTTTTCAATTGTTATCTCGATGTAAACTGACACGTACTACATTGCTGTCTAATTTTCGATACAAAGGTGTTTTGGTCAGACGCCAAAGGATACCGATTCCCGATCCAGTGAAGTACAGATATTACGATGTGCTCGACCTGAATATCGGAAAGGAGCCCGAGATATACGGGCGAGTGTACAAAATCGTGGATTGCGACAAGTTCACGAGACACTTCCTCAACCGCATGGGAATACCAGTGCCCGACCCGATTGATATACCAAAGGATCCGTATCGCGAAGTTCGAGAAGTCGTAAGTGCAGAGTAATCGTGCCAGCCTAGCAACATTTTTATCAAACGCCTACTGCGGGTACCCTTAAAATCTGATCATACGAAATTTGTATTATCGCTTAATATGGCAGGAGACATTTCCAAAGAAGCCTAATCGCACGGTGGATACTCTCGGGAACTTTTTAAAGTACGACAGGCAGGTGCTCCGATTTTATGGATACTGGGACGACACCGAGAGCCCTCACGGTGTCGTTCACGATCTCGAGCTGCATTATTATCTCTCTGATAACACGATAGAAATCAAGGAAAACGTACCGCCGAACGCTGGCCGGGACTCCGGACCGATGCTCGTCAAAAGGATGAAGATACCGAAGGTACAATACGACCAGTGTGAAAATTTAATCGCCGCTCCAATAAATTCATCGCGCATCATTGAATTGAAATTAATTTTCCAGTTTTATATCGGCTTGCAGCCGATCGGCGCGGAACATCGCTTCACGGTTCTAAATGTATTAGGCGAGAGTGCGAGGCAGAGCTATTACATGGTGGATTCTCTGGGCACCGGCGACATTTCCACCGATTATTACAAGGACAATGAGTTGGGCATCGGAGCGGAGATCAATGTTTTCGGTAGAAGAATCGTCGTCACGGACATGGACGCTTTTACCAAGGAATATTATCGGTATAATACTGTCTAAAATTTTTGGCATGAATATTGGAGTGACTACTTACTGAAATATTTACCGGATATTTACCGAAAATAGAATCACCAAGTGAAATATTCATTCTATTTCACTTTCAATGGTTCGATTTTCACTTGAAAAACTTTAGGGAGTAACAAGGGATTGGTCACTGAGGTAATCTCTGTACAAGGGCTAGGCAATTCAGCGGCAATCCAAATATTTGGGGTAATTTTAAATATTCTAAGGTAATCTTGTGTAATATGAGATAGTATTGGATTATCTGGAGTAATTTGAGGTAATATTAGGTAATCTTGAGTAATCTGAGGTAATTTAAGGGTAATTTTTGTACACTATAACCGCTAGTGACCAACCCCTCGGGGAGTAACATGAGATTTCGTATCCTTATCGAGAGATGGCTTGAGCTAGATATTTCTCAAATAATCTTTAGAACTAAGTACGGCTTGGACGACTTTGCGCCTCTGAGGAGGCCTCGAAAAGGCGACGAGATGTACCAGAAGATCGATAGATACATACCGCCCTACAACGGTTTTGGATCTTACGAGGACTCTCTGGGGAACTGTTTTACAGTGATGCCGAAACCGCCCAAGACAGACTTCATCAAGTTTCTGTACCACGACAAGTGAGTAGCAGCGTACTTAAAAACTACCTGCCTTTGATATTCTATTATCTCTATTCGTTTCTTCCTTGCTGCTGTGTTTCAGGCAGGGCTTTAATAGCCACGTCTTAAGATTTCGGGCGAAAATAATATCGAAAGTTCCAGAAAACGAAGAAAGACAATTCATTATAAGAGTATTTCTCATGGACGATACCATATCAATTTTCGAATTGGCGAAACGAAACTCAGGTGTGTGTGGGAAGCTTAAAATACTGTATTTATACCTAAAGCCTAATCTACAATGTGCTCTCTGCGTCTAGAAACAATTCTATTTTGTAGTCAATAAATACGTTTAAAAAATTTGTGCAAGTTGATCAATTGTACATTATACATTGTATAGTCGTACACTGTCGATCAATTTTTTAATTTGATTGTTTATATAAAATAGACTGTTTCTAAATGCAGAAAGCACATTGTAGATTAGGATTAAAAGATTGATTCCAAATGTGTCCCAAAAAAATTATAGCCGTATTTTAGTTTTATAAATGAATAAGAGATTAGTTATATCAGGCTGTTACAGTGATACATGTAAAGTGTAAATATTCCGTAGTACATTAGGATCAAATAAGGAAATCGGAAAAAAAGAGATGTTAGAATGATATTAGAACGGGGAAATGAAATCAGGCTTTCAGAGATCCCTGTTCCAAAAACGGATGCAGATAATGCTGCCTGGTCAGGATATTTTCACGAGCAAGAAACCGGAATACTACAAATCACACGATTTTTACGTGGGAGCGCGCTTAAACCTGCACGACTTTCATTTCGAAATTACATCCGCGGACGTTTATGCCCTGCGCTACATGGAGCTACATTGCGACAAGGTGCGTGAAAACGTTTCTACGTTTCGACCGACCGACAAATTAATTATAGCCGATTCGTAAAAAGTCCGTTCGCGAATGAAATTACGGTTCTCGAGGTGCTCGACTCGTTTGCACGCGCGCAAAGGTTTTTACTGAGGAAGGAATAATTTCTCTTTGCAGTTTCCCAAAGCGAACAAGAACCTGATAATGGAGAAACTCGGAGAGAACTTGCAGCCGGTTTACAAAGAATTCGTTCAACTGTACGCCCCGCCTGGAGACGCGATGGACGAGGCTCGAATTTTAGAATACGAGAAGCTCAGGTACGTGAAAAATCACTTGTGTCCTCCCATCCGCGACAGCTTCGCGTTTCCCACATTTCAAAATTACATTTTCAGGGAGGCGTTACAGCGCTACATGAGGGACAAGATAACGGAACACGAGATGATCACGATTGCTCGATACTATTCGTCCCGCGAGAAGATCGAACATCGATCGAGGGAATACGTGAGGTGCGTGCGAATCCTAGTCTCTCGGTCCTGGCGAAAATAAAAGTCAAGACTCGCCAGTTCCTTGTGTCGTCATTTCCCTCGACTTTAGCTTAATTCACTCCCCAGTGAGAACACTAACGTCGAATCAACGTCGAAATGACACCGCGTCCCAACCGTCAGTTTTCGAAAATTTTCGATTCGACGTTAGTGTTCTCACTGGGTCTTCGTCTCTTTCTGTTCCCTTAGAAAGAGACAAAGAGTGAATTAAGCTTAGGCTAATAAGAGACGTTGGTGGAACCCGGGCCTTCGATTTTTAAACATCAAGATACCAAAGATCTCTGTGTTAAGAGATGAGACGTTCGAGAGGAGCGATCGAGGAAGCGCTGGTAACTAACGAAGAATTGTCGATTGCCCTTAGATGCCTGCTGCATACGGAGCTACACCGACTTCTGTGGCACGATCTCGATCGCCTGAAGGAGACCCTGCACCACTGGGACGAGGACAGAACGGGATTCCTGCCGCGGGAATCCCTGTACACGATCCTGCGCGGCTGCAGGATTCCCGTCGACGTCGAACTGCTGAATTCCATGCTGGATCAGTAAGCTCGGACATAATTTGCGACTCGATCGATCGTAGGCTTTTGTTTTTTTATTGTCGTTAAAACGCTATTACGATTCTTGCAAGCTTGCGCAAGGCTGACGACGGCAGAATCGACTACGAAGACCTGCTGCGGTTCGTGAATGTAAAAATCGAGCCCCTGCCGCCAGCCGCGCCCGTGAACGTGAAGGTACATTCGTCTATCGTTATATTTCCGCGCGAAAAAATGTTAAGCAACAAATCTAATTGAAGAGAATCTGTTTCAATTCACTGCGATACTGAACCATTTAATGACTGCGTTAAAGTAACATTTATTAAATTTCCAATCTCCTTATTTTATTTTAATATATTACGCAATATTTACGAGTGATGCATTTGTTTCATTAATAATGTTATCAAACTGATGAAACTGTTTTCAATCAGCTGTCGAAATAATTTTCCACATAATTTCCCAGTGAGAAATTAATCGTCGATTCGAATCATTTCCGGGTTTTCTCGACTTCATTCTTCTATTTTATATTATTGCCTTCTTTCATTAAGTTTATTCGCTACATTTTTCCAAGGGATTCTCCGGAGATTTCCTCGGGGATCCCGTAAACGCTGGCGAAGCGTTTACTTTTTAAAGAGAGAGATTTCGAAAAATTCGGATAAAGGGAGAAAATTACGGAGGGACAAATCTAAACCGGTTGGTTGTTTGCAGACGGCGCTTTGGTGGGCATCCGAGAGAGAGCCGGACTGCGGCGGGGGAATAAATTGGCGCGAGTTCATCAAGGATCTAAACATAATGACGGAGGAGGACGCGGTGGACGCGGTGGAAGCGGCGGAGAACGGCGGCAACGCGGAAGCGGAACCGGGACGCTGAGCGCGCTTGCACGGTCGGGATTTTCGCGCCAAAATGTTTATCCCCAATTACGCCAACAATAATAATATATAACCATCTCCCCTTTCACGCATACATGTATATTTCTCGCACATTTCAATTCTACCGTCCATATTTATCATATAACGGTCTTATCGTTGCACCGACAGCCACCCCGCGTTCGCGCAAGCGTGGATAAAAATCCTGACCTGTCGGCGGGAGATTGAGAAATGGCGGCGTCGGATTGCAGGCCGTCGCGCCGTTGCGCGTATCTCCCAAGTTAATTAAACGTTGCAAGGGAGAAACGGCACAATTGCGCGCCGCAAGTAACAGTTGGGATAAAAAGATGTGTTGCACAAACCTAGTCGGCCGCGACGATGTCCGGCGCTGCTCGGCGAGGAAACGGCTGCGCAGGCCAGCGAGGTTGGGTGGCGCGGTGCGGTGGGAAGAGGCTTCCAGGACCGCTGGAGATTTATGGCTGCCGTGGCTCGACGACGCCCGCGTCGCGGCGCGCACTTTGCGGACGTCGACGGCGATTCCAGCGGCGGAAGCCGCGACGACGATCGCGAGAAACGCGATATTCGAAAGCGATTCGAGCCGCGCGACGCACTTCTCGGGGACTGACCGCGAATACCGCGACTTCGAGCGACGAGCCAATCAGAGGCAGGCGATCGCGCGAGCTGCACTTGGTGAACGCGACTACGCTCTGCGTCCCCTCGCGGGAGGAAGACTGCGAAAAAAAACGAGCTGTGCTGTAGAATCGTTTCGAGCATCTCGACGAGTATTGTGCAATGTTCGAGAAAAGATGGGACATAGCTATCTCTCGTTCTGACAGCGATAGTCAGCTTGCGACAACTCGCTGCGCTCGCGTTCGACATCCGATTAATTAATTAATTATTAGGCCTGGAGGTCAATTCAGTATCTCACGATATAATGAAAATGCTAAAAGTGAGCGGTTGTGTCTCTTTGTGAAAGGGACGGGTAGAATGAGATTAAGCTATTCACTCACTTGATCTTACGAGTACTACGCAGGGAAACGCGCATCAAGTCTCAAGCTTACAGTATTTCTTACGTTTAATCTCGTAATCCACGCGCCTGTCGCGCTTACGAGCAGAGATACCGACTTGGAAGTTCGGCCAGGTCGGCCGGACGCGCGGAGGGGATAGGGTGGGAGGTAACGCTCATCGTTATCTTCTACTGCCTGACGCCGGCAGCGCCGCCGAGCGCCTGGCGCTATCCCCACCGTAGGCCCTCCGCTCGCCCGGCTGCCTGGCGGAGCATCCAAGTCGGCGTCCCTGCTCCCGAGAGTCCCGAGTCCAGCAAGTCCCATCCTGCACGGTCGCGCTGCCTCCGCCGTCTGCGGCGGAGCGCGGAGTGCGCCGCTCTTATATACCCCCAGCCGTCGCCTGGCGCCGACCAATCGGCGCTCGGCGCAGGGGCGCTCCGCGCCCATTGGCTAGTGCCCCCGTGGTGGGGAACTGGGGTATATAAGCGGCATGCAAGGGAGCCGAGCAGCGCTGTTGGGAGCGACCGCCGGCGGGTGACGCTGCGTCACGTCGCACGGGGAACTTGACCGTTACCTCGCCCGAGATCCTTCCTCCAAAATCCAAGTCCCACCTGATTGGTCGATGCGAAACGATTCGATTGGATCGCTGAATATTCGCCGACGAGGTATTACGCTTAACAATGATTATTAAATTAATACTTCCACGCGCGGCGCTGAACAGAGACGCTTCGGGTCGATGCGCATTTTCCAACTGTTCCGCGGCATATCTTGTGCGTTATCGGAGTAGCTTCGTTATCAATTATAATTACTTTGGCGATGTAATGTCTATATGTACGCGCGCGCGCGGAACTTGTAGGCTGCAATCTGGGCGACTTTCAGTCCTGATTCGTGTAGAAAGACATCGTATTCAATCGGTCGGTTGCATCGAGTCGCGAAAAAGGAAAGAGTGGCCGAGTAACTGGCAACGTTTAATTGAAATATTTGGAAATTATCGATCACTATACTGAAACGCGTTGCCTCTCCAGCGGGAAATGACTCGTCGATCGATGTCGAATCGACAATCATTTCTCTTGGGCGCCGCATACTGTTCGGTGAGAGTTTCGTGGAAAAATGAGATTCTAACGCGTACTACGAACACCGAGAGGTTTGCACGAGGGACGCTACGCTTATGCGAAAAACGTAATGAATCGCGTTCTAATCGGGAGTGATTTCAGTCCCCGAGAAGAAAAATTGATATCCACGGCGATTATAGCTGCGAGTTGGCGTAAGCATAAATCTCGCTTTTAGCAGGCGAGGGATTTTTCTCGCGACACGCCCCGCTTCCTCTCCCCCTCCCCCCCCCCTCCGGGGGAGGGGGGAACTGTTGAATTATTCATAGTCGGGCGCGAATTTTCCGCTTTGGAAAGTGAATTCGACACGCTGCGTCGCGATTAGCGCGGAAAGGGGATCGGGAAGGATGAGGTCGTCCGCCAGTTCCAAGCAACGTGTATTTGCAGAGTGTAAATGTAAGTTACATCGAAGTATCGAGCATTCTATGTACACTGCTCTGATCTACGTTCTCGAGGGGGTCGCGACGACGGCGCCGATTTACATCGAGCTCCGCGAGAGTCTCCCTCCCCAGTCGGAGATGACACGTCGACCGACGTCGCAGCGGTGTCGATTTGACGTCGTCTCGACAGGCCATTTCTCGCTGGGCCCGTCGCGGAGGGACGAGCGCGCTCGCTCGCCGTCGTCCGCCGCGACACACGCACACACATCGAATAAATAGCAAGTAGCATGGTATAAATAACTCTTGTACGCACCGCGACACAAGAGAAAAAGGGTGTGAGAGAGAAAGGGAGAAGGAGTCGTACACATCGACGGTAAATAATTTGTCGCCTAAATAATTATCCGCCGCGCGGATCGGCAATTTTCACGCGCGCGCAGAATTGATTAGTTCTTTTGCGCTTAGCGTTCGATTTGCACGCGCGAATTCCTTTCTTCTTCCTCCGCTTCCTCCGGCGGGTCAGGGTCGCGATTGATCCCCCGATCTATCCTCAATTGCACTCGTACGTCTTCACGACCCGCCTGCACGTCTTGCACTTGACGTAGCAGCAGCTGATGTACTTGCAGTCGCATCTCTCCAGGATCTCCTCGGTCCTGGTCACGTGGCCGCGGCCGCAACAAAGGTACTCGCAGCCCTCGTAGCCGGGACTGCTGCCGTTACACTGTCTGCAAAAGGTTTTCCCGTCTCATAAACATGGACCGAGATCTAATTTCTCTCAAGATTTATCTCGAAAATCATGTGATTGTGGGATATGACATTTCGAAGAATTTTATAAAAGTTTTTTGAAATTTTACTATACATTTTGCTAGTGAAATGTATGGTTAAATTTCAAAAAATTCTCATGGAGTTCTTCAAAATGCCATGTTGTCCCACGATTACATAATCTTCAGAGTGAATCGTGAGAAAAATTTTCGTGTAGGCCTGAAACTGGTCAGTTACAACTACAATTTTCTTTCAAAAAATAGAATGACTGTGGTTGGCCAGGCCTTAATTGCGATCGTACCATTAAATCAGACACGGATGTTATTAAGGGTACCGCTTATATTGTCACGACTAAGAAATATCGATACAACAGCCGAGTATAAAATAGTCGGATCTTGACAGAGATGAGCGTGTGGCGTGAGCCGCAGAAGAAACGGCTTGAAAAATATTTGGTGAAATTTTGTTCGAATTGATCTTTGTACAACATAAACGGCAGTTATTGATCCCTTTTATTATCGATACGTTCACTTTATTTCATCGCGATTATACCGGATATTGCGAACGGATCGGATTTCACCCCCGCCATAATTAGACAACGATAGCTTCCTTGTTTCTTTCGGAGATAAAACGCGCGCAATTAGTGCACTCGTGGGAGTGTTGCTCCCCTTCGTGGCTCGTAATAGTCTCCTGAAAATTAACAAGTAACAATCCGCGGGAGGCCACGGCACGGAGGCGGCCGACTGTATTACTCCAGCGGCCTCTCGTCGAGGCTTCTCCTCCGGTTACCTCGTTAAAGCTCCTCGGACTCCATTATTAATCGATTTGCATGACGCCCGCCTCCGACGCCGTGAAGATGACCGCCTTGCGCGATCGAGGCTACCGCGTAAATTACGCGGCGTCAAGAAAAGAGAGAAAGAAATCCCGAGAAGCGTCACGTTGTAACGCGGAACCCGCTGCTCCGCACGCGGAGCACGGCGTGATAAACATTCGCCACACCCACTTTGTATAATTATACGCGGGCTTATAATTACTGGGTTGTAAGCTGTAAACCGGCGAGACGAGTCGGTGGTGGACCAAAGAACCTGGCGCCATATATCAACGCGCGGCGAATGAAATATCGGCGTGTCCGAAACAAATGTCGGATTAGAGCTGGCGATAATCGTCCCTCACGAAATTATCGGATCCCGTTGGAAACGTGTCGTCAATGATTCGTCGAAACGATGTCGATTCGACATCAATTAAACGGCGTCGGTGTTGATTCAACATCAATCGACGAGTTATTTCTCGCTGGGCCGCTTTGCGTTAGCTAGATTTTCGATTTTGAGTGAGATGAAATCGATACGAGATCAATAGGTTGCTCTATCTTGTTCTTTGAAGTCAAATGCAGGATATTCTGCATTTTATTAAATTAGCGTAAAAGATTTTTTCCAAAGGGGCGGCAAAACGTTTACATCAACCTGATATAATCGTCTTTCATCAAAATTGCAATTCGGTTCAAGGTGGATCGAGCCGGATTTAACGCCAAATCTACGAGAATATGAGTCATTATAGTTGCGCTGTAGAAAGAATTATTGTGATCTATTAACATCCAATACATAATCTATTCGGGCATTCTCTTTCGTCTCGTTTCTTGCGATACGAAAACACGCGAGACGCGAACAATGAACATCGGATTTATGGACCGAGCGAGACGAGACAAAAGATCCACCGGAACCGCCACGTGCGTCCGGCACTTCCTGCGCCTTGCGGTCCAGGTTATCATCTCCGGAATGCCGTGGGTGATCTTAATTCACGCGGAGCGAGGCGTGGCTAATCTGAGGACGATGGAGAGCCGTCTCCTTTCCACCGCCGGAAAATCCGTGACGAATGCAATCACCGTGTTACAAAAAGCCGCCCTTCTTCCCGGGGCGGATGCGGCTCGCGCCTTTCTTTGCCGCTCGCGATGAATTAGTGAACGTAAATTCTGTAGCAGAACTGGACGGGATCCAGTATACGATAATCTCTGATTATTTTTCAAAACAATTCACCTACAATCTCTTATTACATTACATAATTTTCTCGTTTGCGCAGGTGAGGAGACAAGGGGAATCGTACTAGCCGACGTGGTACTGCAATTTCTAAGGACCTTATTCTGACGCACAAGGAACATCCACTATTGCAACCTGAGAGCAGAACTGTTTATGGCGCTGCACGATTAGAGGTAAGCAGTATGCTCGACATATTTATTTCATTGCATATCTCAGTAAACACCAACAATTACGTAACATCAGCATTATAACAAGAATATTTGTCAATGTCGCCAGCAGTAATTAACGTCAGTAGTTTTCCAGACCATATCTGGCATTTTTAATAATGCAGAAAATTTATTGTGAAAAATATTACCTCAGCCAGGGTTTGAACCTGGACCTCCCTACACTCTAGGCGGGCATCTCACTAGGGCACTAGCCTCAGTGGTTAAATTGGTGAGACGCCCACCTAGAGTGCAGGGAGGTCCAGATTCAAACCCTGGCTGAGGTAATATTTTTCGCAATAAATTTTCTGTATTATTAAAAATGCCAGATATGGTCAAGAAAACGCTGACGTTATCCATATTATAATTGCTTCAACATGCGTGAGTTATGTTACATTAACATTGTTGAGTAAAAAAATATAATATCGATGTTATGTAACTTGGTATTCACTAGCTGGGATACTATTATCGTACTAGCACAGTTCTCCCTAGGTGGCCTATGACTTCCACCCCAGCGAGGAATTTGTCAATTTGATGTCGATTCGACATTAATCGACGAATTATTTTCTTTTGTGTTTTCGTAATATTAAAATGAAGTTGTTAGCCCCAAACTCCGTGTTCATCGGAGAACCGTTTTTCTCCGCTCCTAGGGTGGTATATGTCGTATATGTGAAATAGCCTCGGCTGCTACTTTCCTCAGAGTACGCGTTTAAATAGAAACCAGCGATGCTCAGTTGATTTGAACTTGATCTTTTATCTATTAAGCACAGTTCTCTCTCTGTGCCACCCTCGTCACAAGTGACAAACGTTAGAAATTTGAAAGGTAAAGGTGCAAATGACAATTCGATATCGAATTCGCGAAGAAATATCCGTCAGAATGTGTTGATCAAAAATCCCGCGACGCAATCGAGAGATCTTGAAGCGCTCTTCGAACGGTAGCGCTAACTCGCGAAACGGCGTATGGCGCAAAAATTAGCGTTAGCACCTCTCGGGCGGCGACGGCGGCGGGAAGAGAAAACGGCAACAGGACCGTGAATGGGTTCTGTCGTAACAGTATTAGCGCGGCGAACAGTCTGTCGAACAGGGCATCGTAAAATACGCGTGTTCATTCGATTTGGAGAACAGGTTCGGGTCGGCTAAGCCGAGGCGTCGTCGGGATGGCGGGATGACGCGGCCCTATCTCTGAGAGACGCCTCCTCTCGTTCTCGCCTCGCGCACGTAATTACCGGTGCGCGCTCGCATAAATAAGCCTGGCTATCTGGCTGCGACGTGGATAACCGGGATCGAAGGAACCGGGAAGAAATTCGTCGCGTATGGCTAGGCATTACGTCGCCTATACGGGACAACAAGAGAGCAACGGAGGATAAGGGAATTTTATTAACCCGATATGGCTCGACACCCCCGGCTAACGTTACGGGAAAAAGATCCACGGGAACGATAGTTTCACGGGGACGTGGTATTCCTTTCTTCTCTCGTTCCTTCTTTCGAGCAGAACCCGAAAAGATTACAAATTAGGAACTAACGTTGTAATTATTATTGTTCGTAAAATTGTCCCTTGATTGAAATTTTTCTGTGAAATGAAACAAATACATTTTAAACGGTTCGTATTTCACGTTCATGAAGAACACTAGAAGCTTTCATCCGTAAAAAGAAGGGCGGGTTTGCATTGCCAAAGCAAAATTGGTTGTCGTGACTGTTTGAGCTAGTTTTTCGTAGATCGTTAGCGACTAGGATTGCTAACGACTTTTGAAAAAAGTGTGCGTTATAAAGTAATATATGGAAAAGATTATTGACGAGACTCTACCTGGAAATAACCGTCGGGACACTTTGATTACGACTGGGAGATGAGTATAAGTGAACTAAAAAGGAAGTCGCGAGTCAGCAATGACCTGGGCGTCTCGTAAAAGCCGGTTATGGCGGTGCTAATGGTTTTTCGTCGCACTTTTACACACCGCGAACCCATAACCAGGACTACAGGCTAGGAATGTGCGTGCGATAAAATCGCCCGAGCTCGCTATTAGCTGGCACATTTTCGCGAAGCGAAACTACGCGCTAATTCCTTAAGAAAAGCCTCGAAATCTACTTCTGGCGGTTTACCAAAGTCAAGGATCAATTTCCGAATAGATTTACTGCCTTCTGCCCCATAAACACATACATTGCGAGTAGAGTAAGAGCTATCGCACACAAAATTGCACAGCTGCATATGCATAGCACAAAAACCGTTTAAACCAATGAGTATTAAGCGTTGAGTCGCCATTGATTTACATACTCATTGGTCTAGACGGTCTTATGCTATGCAGCTATGCAGTTTTGTGTGCGATGGCCCTAAGAATTTACCTATTACGAGAGAAACAACAAAACATCACAAGGATGACCAGTGGTCAGGAGAGGAGGGAGGTTCTCCAGCCCGCGGCTACCGAAAAAAGAAGTCGGCTGGTCCTTGCATCGTGTCTCTCCCTTCACGCCCACCCTTCACACTTTACGAAGCGGCCATACCGCTTTTCTGCCTGTCAAGTTTTTTTTCTCATTGAGAACCGAGAGAAGCCAAGAGAAACATCCTCGCTTCATTAACGCGAAAGCTAAACTCTCCTTTTCAATCGTTCGTTAGCTCAAAGGGCTATCTAGGTGTAGAAATTTGAGGTAAAAGCAATTCCTGTTTTTGACAAGAAGAACGTCAACGTGTATGTACCTTCGCTGCTCATACATCCGGTATATCTTTAACGGTGTAGTTAACGCGATATAATCGACAACGTTCGCTGTCCACAAAAAGTAGACTCGTCACGTTTCTTCGCTCGTTGTTCCTCCGTTAATGGACGCGAGACGCGTGAAGAAAGATCGTTTCGCTCAATAGGAGTTGATAAATACCCCTCTTCGTGCACTGCCGGCCACATTAAAATGCAATTCGAGCTTTTTTACGCGACACTTACTCGACATCGTTATATTGTGAGCTTATATATCGCGCGAGTTTTTAACGAGCCAATGTTAGTTTCCAATTTACAAGTTTTAACGAGTGTTATCTTGAGAACATAGTTCTAAAGAGACTAGCGTTCCTTTTGTTTTCTATGTCGATCAAACTGGATAAATTGAAAAGATATTCGTATTCTTCTCATGTTCAGGCACATCATAGTCGTCATTAAAACATCGTGTGTTTCATACATTTTTTTTATTTAAAACCACAAAGAGATACCCCGAGTCGAGTCCCGGAATGGGCTTCAATTATTTTATTCTGTCTTCATTTGGACCTCGGAGTCAGTTTGAAACTGCAAGGCCCAGATGAGTAAAAAAAATTGAGTTTAACTTCATTCTAACCCTCAAAGAGAATGTAGTAAAATATTTCACCCTCTTTGAGACCTCTTAGACCGAAAAGGATCTACCGAACCTCTGTTGACTACACTCGCATTGGCCTCTTTACTGCTGAAAGAGAAATAGCGACTCTCTTCAGGCCTATCTGTGGTGAAGAATTCAATATATTTTCTCCGACACAAAGACCTTAGTTCGACCTCATTGCTGCCAATTCAAAAATTATACGAGGCTAAACCGAAGCCAAAATAATCGACTCGGGACCTGCGAAGCGTCCATCTTCGTGATACAATTATCTTTACAAGAGATCGGACTAATTTACGTGAAAATTGGGAGAAAATGACGCGTCTCACCTGCCGATCGTGCCGAGGCTACCCCTCTTCTTATCCGGTAGACAGTAATCCGGACTTTTGATCGTGTAGAGTAGATTATCGTGGTGATACAGGGGCGGCAGTCTGCCGCCGGATCTCGGCCTGACCTCGGCCGCGGTGGCGTATCTGCGTAGCAAGCGACTTCCGGCGGCGGATGGTCCCGACGCACCTAGGCCGCGCCAGCAGGTGCGCACGCTGCAGGAACCCGAGACCCCGTGGCACTTGCACTCCAAAGTCAAGGATTGCTCGACCGCCTGTTCGCACGAAGCGTTAATCGCACTTACGTCATATTCCCCTTTCGAAAATCAAGAACGTTAATAGATAATAGAACCTTCTTCCTTCGACTTTATTCTTTTAACCAATATAGGAAAATTAATCAACGACACAACTTGCAAAATCAAATTAGAGAAATTTATTCTTTTACTTCAGGCAAACTCTTGATTTAAAATATTCCTCTCAGGATGTTTACATCGAGATAGAGTTTTACAATAAAACAATATTTCACAAATAGATTTAATATCGCCAGCAGTTTAAAACCAATGATATGTAGTTAAAAGAAACATTAGCCAGTGTAGGTAGTTTTTAAAAGACTAAATATAAAAAAATATTTATAACAGCTAAGTAGCTGAAGTTGAAACCTTCCTCACGTACGTTTAACACTCTTCTTAATCATCGATCGCGGCGTACGTGCCGTAGACACTCACCCTTCGGCCCGCCCTGTTGTTGTGCATATTGACTGCGTGCATGAACTTGGCGGTACCGCTGGTACCGGGCGGCGATGCACCCTGAAGAAATCGCTTCGCCATTCTCGAGGCGGATCTCACGTCGTCCCCGCAGCCGCCCCACTTGAAAGAGTTTCTCGCGGACAGCGTGTCGAAAGAGACGGGCATAGTGGTGAAAGATGAAGGCGAGATAAGCGCGGACGGCGAGGGTGGCTCTCGTCGTGGTGGAGTCGCGCAGGAACAGGCCGCCAAGTTCCCCAAAGCGCACCCTCGCGCGAGTCGCCAAACCGCGGCGGCGGCCGACATCGCGTAGACGAAGGCTTGCTCTCTAGTTCCTACGATAAGTGCGCTCGATTAACACGCGAAAACACAAATGTGAAACAATACAATTCGTAAGGCTCTGACGTGAAATCACAATTCGAAGGAAGGACATAAGAGCCGAGACAGGATGTTAGTCTATAAATGATTTTAACTTTCAAATTTCCACTCTCTAGAAATCAATCAATGAATTAATTGTCACTAAAAACTATAACTGCAAATCAGTGATTCCCTGTCTCCAGTGATAATCCACTGATTAATTTTTAGAGAGCAGGTTCAAACCCTGGCTGAGGTAAATTTTTTGCAATAAATTAAAAAATTAAAATCATTTAGACACTAACATCCTGTCTTGGTTCTTATAGCCTTCATTCCTTCGAATAAGTGTGAAAGTTTCTGTCGCAACTTAAATCGATACACGAGATAGTAAAGTCATATGTCAGACTACTAACACTGCATTTCAAATTACAACGCTAATTATTAAATATTTAAAATAATACTCTTGCATAAATATTTTTATTAATAAAAGCAATTTCCTAAATTGCTTTCACGGCTGTTTAAATTAACAACTTTTCAAAGTTTAAGCCACGCTAATTAAATTGTCACGTGTATCATACTAACTACGTAATAATTATTATTATCCTGATACTTTCAAATTGTAATTTAAATTTAATTAAGTAATTGCACACGAATTACGTTTAATGCATTGTAATTAAAGACCATGCAGTTCTTTTCTCCTTCGATTGAGACGATTGAGGAAAAGCCGATTATCTTCCGAGAACAGAAAATACAATGGCGAACGTTACGTTCGTGGCTGTATGATGTATCTCTCATTGGCGCTTCTCGGTTTTCTCATTAACGAAGGATATCTCGATCTCTCGGGCGCACTTTTCTTTACAATATAATCATCGTGAAACGCGAGCGATTAATCCAAGGGAGGCCGGTCGCGAGAAAGGAGGATGAAGACCGTGGGGAACTGCGGTTTGTTAATGATCGCTAATTGAGGCGCGCCTGCCAGGTCTTCCTATTTACGTCGAATTCCTCAAAGGATATTCGATACGTTTTCCATCGGAACCTTCATCGACCTTTGCACCCCACCGTCGCGCAAAATCACCGATTATAAATCCATTACGAGCAAAGTCAACGGGTATTTTCTTATTTAACAAAAAAAAACGCCTTGACTTTTCAATCAGAGCTGATTCTAAAATTGCAAATCTTTAGGAGAGTTTTTCTTCCTTGTTAGCTTCCTTCGTGGCGCATCTTTAATATCTCTCGAGACGTGGAATAAATTCTTGCAAATTACGTGGATCTCTCTGAAAGTATTACACAGACCTTTTATGCCATTTTCCAATTTTGTCAAGAATTCAATTAGCACGTTGACTGCCCTGATGCAATTAATTTTATTTAACACGTCACCAAAATATGATATTATTTCACTACAAATTATATCATGTACAATATTTCATCATTATAAGCTCTTGATCATGAAAATTCCATTGTAACAAATGCGATGAAAGGATGTGATTTCGCGAACAAACCTGTAAGCAATTCAGGCGTGTAGTCGGGTGCGCGCTCGATGCTGCTACAGTTCCATCTGCGATGTCGAAACGCCTGCTGGCACACCGTCGACGTGTCTCTGGCGGCTTGCACCAAACCGGGCATCAGATCCGGCGTGGCCCTGCATGCCCTCGCCTGCTTTCTCTCCAGCAGACCCGTGCCCTTCGCGCTGGTGCACGCCTCTCTGGTCCACGTATGCGTGTCGCCGGTACGACCCAGGCCGCTAAACACAAAGCGTTCCGTCTAAGTACGCGACTACGCACTCCTTTCAACTTGGGAAGAAACGCGGGATTATCGGTTACTGAAAACTTTATTATCGTGGACCAATTGAAACGCGATGTTCCACGCGTTAGAAAATTTGTTGCTAAAGCGTTAAAAGTGCGGCTAAAATCCAAGTCGAGCCTAAAACTGGTATTTGATATATCAATATGAAATTTGCTTCAATCACAATGTCACAAGCAGTCGAAGATTATATCTTGTACATTTACGAAAAGTCGGCGGCAAATGGTCTCGTAGATGAAAGTCTTTGGAGCGAATGGTCCCGTTTCTCCCCGCCTTCAACATTCCGAAACGAAACACGCGACCGTGGAATTTGGGGTGGAACACAAAGTACGTACAACTCTGTCGGACGATCGGGCCGAAGGGCCGACAGACGTGAGCGATCCACCTCTTTCGCTAGACGGTCCCGACGCGGAACCCGCGCCGAGCCGTAAATCAGGGGGTGAATTTCGAAAATTATAGGGCGCGAGGCCTGAAAAGGGCTCGCGTTTAAGTGCCGCGGGTTGAATACTAGCGCGGCTGAAACTCGCAACGCGCGAGAGAGCGCAAGTTGGGGATAATAATTACGGACACCCGAAAGTCGAAATGACCCGTGCACGCGGCCTCGCCGCGTCTAGACGTAACAACCCTGGGAATGGCCGGATCGCCAACCCCGTGTCACGGAGCCTACCCTCGGAATTACCCTATCAAAAGCCCGCGGTTCTCTAATTCGTTATTACCGTCGCCGCCGCCGCCGCCGCTGCCGCCGCAAGCTCGTTCGTTCCCTCCCGATGACATTTCGGGGCTCGTGTTACGACCCGACCCGGGGAATCTAATTTCCGCGTAAACGCTCGCGAGCGTGCACTCGCGTTGCTTTACGACCCATTGTGAAATCGCGCTGCCTCGCGCAAGACCCGCAGCGCGATGGTTTCAACCCCTTCCGGGTCCTTATCGACAGGCCTACCTTTCTCCCCCGTTATTTGCAAACCTTGCGTCTTGATTATTCTCAGACCTGCGTTACTCTGGTCTGTATATTAAATAACACCGAATTCACACGATCCTCTAAAATAAATAGATATATTTTCGCGATGCTCGGCGCCGCTCTAAAATAATACATCTCGACAAAGCAGAGAGGAAAAGAATACATAAGAGTGGCAGTAAAAGATTACATCCCTTTACGAGGATAATGTGCGCGCATTCTTCGCACGCACGGCTCGTTAAAGCTGCGCGCAAGGGGCGCAAAGCTTTGCAACTTGCCGAGCTTTTTCGTCCGCAAAAAGAAGAAACGAAAAAGCGGAAACATTCCTCCGAGCGACCTAGGAATTTCCATGGCGCTCGCATCTCTACGAGCCATAAATATCCGATCCAAATTATCAGCTCATTAAGGCGATATTCGCGATGATCACTTTGGCAGTCCGACTAACGAGGAACCCCAGTTCGCGCGCATAATTCGCTGGCAAAATAATAAATGTAGCGCGCCGTGTATCGTACCACGAAGATCGATTACCGCCTTGATGTCTTAATTGACCGGCCGACTGCGAAATAATAATTAAAGTCATCTCAAACAAATACGACCACCAACGTGGATGATCCTGTCTTAAATTTTTCCCGACGATTCGTGTTAAGCACTCGTAGCGAAAGGCAGAGTATTCGTTCTTCAACGTCAATTTATTTTATCTTTCCCGGGTGAATAAACACGTACACTGAGAGCAGAATTTGCTTTCACTGTAATAATTAACTGATAATATTATGATAATTGTAGTGGGAGTCTAATAGTAAGCAGCGGAGTAAGAGATAGTCCGCTTGTCGAAAATTAGAAAGCGTAACCGGGCGTTTTCGTCGCGTTACACTTCAATTATAATCTTACACGCGCTTTAAGCAATATCCCTTAAGCAGCACAAGAAATGGAGTTCAATCATTTTGAGTAATATGTTGAGAAAATAAATTAAGGTTTTGTTTAGTACTTAAGATAACTGTCGATAACTCTTCGACCTCAATTATCACGTGCTTGAGCTATCGGTCCTGCGGGCAATTCGAAGCTTAACAAGGTGGATCGTTCAGCACCCGGAAAGACAGTTGAACGCGAGATATTTAATGAACGATCGGTGAGTACGACAGCCACTTGCAAACGGGCAGGCAGGGCCCGGCAGAACGCGTGACAGGCCACTTATGCGGCTAGATACGATTTTAAGTTGCGTTATGCATCACTCTGGCCCGCAGCTTTGCGCGCAAAGTAATTTACGAGCCGCTCTCTAAAGACGAATGCGCGACTATTTACTATCGCGCGTCAGATAATTAATTATCAGCCGCAGCGCGTAGAGCGTCAGGCCAATCACGATGATCCGAAGCGATAATCGCGCAGCTTGCTTCCAATGAATTTCTAAGATTGTACCACATACGTCACCCAACGTTATTAAAATATTAATAAAAGTTCGTCCGCGACGAAGAACTTGCTCGAGCGTGTTTTTTACCGCAGAATTAATCGGCTACTGTGTAGCGTAAAATTTCGCGATGTTAAATCGGTCGTTTGTCCGATTAAGTAAGATGATAATGCACTGACAATGAGCAAGACGTGAATAATTTATCTAATCGTAAGATAGATAATCTTGGGGCAGTAACATGAAACTCGTTACAAAGATCTCATAGGAATGTAAAATGCGACGGCAGTGGAAGCGAACAACTTGATTTACGGAGTGCCTTGTTACGTGATATAATTGCCCATTGTAGCGCAGCTAATAATTTACGAAATACAATGAGTATCGCGCGGCCGGCTCACGACTAGCTGATCCTTCGCCGTTTCGCGATCGCATTAATCACTATCCTCGTCATGGACAACCCTAACGTTTTCCTCTCGCTTCTTTTGACAATGGTTCCATCTAAACGCAGTACAGATTAATACACTCTCTAAAAATCAATTAGTGAATTATCACAATTTCAGTGGTATACTTATAACTGCAAATCAGTGGCTATTCACTGTTTCAAGTGATAATTCACTAATTGATTTTTAGAGAGCAGCATAGCTAAATAGATTTTTTCGTTATAGCTTCGGCTACTTGTTTAATTACTGATTGATGCTTGTCCTTATTTTCTGTAATCAGAAACTGACGAGAGATTCTGTCGGGAAGGTAACGATTCATGAGCAATTCTATTTTATATTTTAAATACTTGCTCATAAATATGTCCTTCAAATGGCTTAAATCCTCTTCTTTTAACCACTTTCTCGTCCATTATTTGAGTCAGGATACCACACAGCAATTACAAACACTACTCGAAACGTGATGAAACAAGTGTTACATTGACACGTACCGAAACGCATATCGAAAGTTCCATCACTAAAGTTGTTGCGAATTAAGAATACATTCTTAATTTAAGAAGATGTTCCAAAAAACATGACGTTAAGAAGGAAATATTCTTCCTTATTAAGTAAATCTATTAAGAGGATTTGTAAAGTATGTATTTTAAGAATACAATTTTTTCGGTGTACGAAATAATTCCTTCGATGTCAAACGCGCATCGGATTCTTGTAACGTAAAGCGAGTAAGATACGAGACGATTTTCCATTTCGATCCTCCACGATCTTCGGACGGTCGCTATTGACCAGAAAAATAATGACGTTTTTTACGAATTTGATATCTACACCAGTTGACGGTCTTATTTTACGTGTTTCCACGAGGATCGCGGCTCGCGCGACGGAAGTTCACGGACGTTCACGGTGGGACATTCTTATGAAAATAAGAATGTTGCACGACGCGGTATCTTCGTTGAAAAAGAAGAAGAAAAGGTTTTGAAACGGTTCCATCGACCGGCTGCACTTTCGAAATTCGTTTTGACTGGTGGAATCGTAAAGCGTAGTTTTTACGAGACCGATAATAAGCGGGCGCCTACGAGTTTCTCCATTCGGAGGAGGCTGAAAGAGAAGCTGTTCAGGAGCGTATCCAGGATGATGAGAAAGGAAGTGAAATTGGCTCGGCCACCCTGAACGAGCATTCGAGCGCAACGAATCCGTGTACGCGTATGTTAATCGTTTACTCTACGGTAATACTCGTTAAAACGCCGTTATTCCAAGGAAAGCACGAGGGTAATGTCGTATCTCAATCGGCAGATGGAAAGATAATGCCACGAAGGTGGACACATCTCGATTTTCCGCCCTACTACATCAGTCGTATTCCAATACTTTTTATAATATTTTACTCTTAATAAATCACGCAGCGTCGCGCTTCATTGATTGATCCTACTTGTTTTCGCAATTAGCGTCAATTTGTTTGTAATCTCTTTGACGTCGGTGTCCCGAGTGACAAATTAACGAGACGCGCGGTTAAGATCTCGCGTCCCACGCCGATACAATCCGCCGCTGCTCTAACTCGCGTCTCGCGTTAAGAATGCGTGATTTACGAGCGATGCATTGTAGAGATCGCTCCGTCATGAATGATCTTATAAATAGCGACTCGCGTGTGATTCAGCGCGACCCTGCGGGCGCTTGTCGAGGGCTGCGCGTAAATTATTATAAATCGATCCTTGGCCTCGATCCTGGCGAAGAAATTCTCGATCGTGATTCCGCTGAAAGAGCCGCGGATTGCCCCGCGACGGAATGCTCTTCGTGACGTCGTCTCGAAGCTATGAGCAACGATCTTCGATCTTTCAAATGATGATTAATGAATCCCATTAAGACGGCCGAGCGGAGTAGATCATCACTTCACTTTTAATCGTGAAAAGATTAGAAAATCGTCTCGGGAATACGGAATGTTTTCTGCTATGTAAGAAGGGGTGGTGTTCGTTTGTCTTTATATCTCTGAAACTTCGTCCGGGCTTGTTTAGTCTTCGGCCTGAAAAATTATCGGTGTCCCCGTTTTCGAAATACGCAATCGTTTCTCTTCGTTTAAACCCCACCGTTTCCGGATAGAGCGGCAAGCGTCCGGGCGGCACTCCTTAATGCAGAAAGATCATCGTCCGACTCTTGCCGGACGCTCCCTAAGACAACGGGATCGATGGCCGCTCGAGCCACAAAGGAAAAGCAGCGAGATTTCGGATCACCCTTCGAAATTATCCGTCAATGTCGGCCGCAATAATTATAAACAAGAGAATCGCGAGGAGGTCTCTCACTCCTCGGTCGGGTTCTTGGAAAGCGTCGTTTATAAATCACGATTTCGCGGGCAACCCCTAATCTTCCACCCCCCCCTGCCCCCTCGGCTATCCTCGTGCCACTCCCCGATCATCTTCCTTTCGTACTGCCCCTCCATCCCTTAGCGCCGTATTCCCCCGTATTTTGGTTTTGCACGCAAAACCACCATCACTCCGCCATTCATCATCCAATGCCGCTCAAACCTTCTCTCTGTTTCCGCTTTTCCCACTTCCAACAACCCCCTTTCGTCCTCGCCTCGCGCTCTCCTTCTCGCTGATGCGATGAAACTCCCTGCGAAACGCACGACAATTTAAATCGCATATCCAGAAATCGAGGGACCCTTCGGGGAATAGGGTTAACCGACAACTGGCCGCACTGCTTTCAATGTTAACGAGATGTCTTCCGTGCGCAACTCCGGATGAGAGGAACGGTTCCTAGCGCGAGGATGATTGATAGAAATCGCGAAGAGAAATAATTTGCGGGAGACTCTCGTGCGAAATGAAGAAAAGACAAATAACGATATCTCGCGGCAAAACAATCTATAGTGAGCTTTCTCGTTCGTTGCTTTATTATTATTTTATTTATCATTCTTTACGTGTGTGTGTGTGTGTGTGTATGCAACCACTAGATTCAGCAAAAACAGCTGAATCCAGAAACTAGTGGAAGTTTGCCGTAGTTTAAAGTGACGTAATAACATATAATTGAAGAAGAACATTCAGACATCTTCGTGGCAAAACGGCTCGCTGATGAATTCGTTAAAGAAACGTCGTTTCTGCTTTAGGACAAAAAAAATTCGTAAAAAGACCGATACTTCGGCTGCTGATAATTAAAAAGGCTCGCTGGTCGGCAAAATAAGAAGCGCTGCGATAAATTCGCCGCGAGGCGAGGTATCTCTAAAACCGACGCTGTAGTAATCATCCGCTTTTCATTTGCGAAACGTATTGGCCGGGCTAACGAACGTGAAGCATCGTCGTCTATTTATGCAGCCCATAAAGCAGCACCGACGATATCTTTATTCCTCGGGAGTACGAAATTTATGTCGAGCGCGAATCGCCCCTAAATCTCGCCGCGGCCCGATCTCCTCCGTGATCCAAGGAAAATAATGATCGAGATCGAGAATCGGGAGGCCGCGTCCCCGCCCCGCGCGCGCTCCCGAGCGTTTCCTTCGGCCACTAATCTATTTGTTTCTCATTAACGGACCAACATTAATCTTCGAACTCGTTCGGAGCCACCGCGAGCGAATGTGAGAGCGCAAATGGGACTCGTCATCACGAGGGTTCACAGGAGGACCCCTCGGATGTCTCTACCTTGGATGATTGAAGATTGCCCGCAAACAACTGTGTATTTTTTGACTCGCTATTTATAATGCAACGGTTGCAAATCCAACGTTCGTTTGCTCGATTTAATTTCTGCTTGAATAAAGGATTATAAACTCTAAAAGTTAATCGGTGAATTATCGCTGAAAACAGTGAATACTACTGAAAATTGTAGTGATATATTTATAACTGTAAATCAGTGACTATTCACTGTTTTCATCGATAATCCACTGTGATTGACTTTTAGAGACAACATTTTTACGGCTTCTCTACTGTGTGCAAACGTCTTTTTTATTAATATATTATGAAAGTCTATTTACTATTAGAAAAAGTAAAATTATCAAATGCAACTATATGCACTCAAAATCTCGAGTTTAATCCAACAAAGAAGATTAAATCGCGGTAGATGAAAACGTGATCAGAAATCTGGGCAGAAAACGTCTAATGGCGCCAGTGCGACTGCTCTTTTCGCTAAGAAAAAATTCATTAGAGATTATTCTTACGTAATAAGACGAGTTTTCCCCGTTTCGACCGCGCTAATCCGCCTGACATTTCGAAGAATGTCGTGGCCGCGTAGATTCTATCGCGGAGATTTATTATACGAAGAGTAACGCGCGATGCGCCAAAGGCAGGACGGAAGGACTAGTCGAATAACTTTCGCAAAAGAGTGAATTGGAATACTCACAGCCATTTTATACATCTGCCATCTTGGACCAGCAACAACACTAGCAGCAGAAACCAGACCTTAGCACCGCTTCGCTTCTTTATCCGCATCTTTCTTCGTTTCGCATTCTAAAGGATTGACATCGTCGTTCACCGTCCCGGGAATATCGCGAAGACGATTTTCTGCCCGCGCTTTCAAACGCCGCCGATCATCCCTCGATGCAGCGCAACTCGCTTCGTAAAGATTCGAGATCTCTTCAGCGCGTCCATCGTGGCCGTGGTACTGTTAAAAAGTCGCGATACTTTCCCTCTCCCGTGGAGGATAAGCGACGTTCTCGAGGACTGCCTTTAATGCATTTTGAGGAAATTCCCGTTTCATTTATCTTTATATATATATATCCACTCCGAAATGGCAAGTTCTGCATCGACGACGTTACATATTTAGCATTTGATTACCAGCTCAATCAATTTTTCCGAAATAGTTGCGCGACGAAGACGAATTCGCTCTCGGATTAATTAAAAGCAAAACGATCGATATCTCGGGGGGGAACAGCGGACGTTTTGAAGATTCTCCTCAGATCTCTTCTTCGCGCGGTGCTGACGGCTACTCACAAACAGGCGAGTGAGAAAAGGCAGAAGGACCGCATTCGTGGAACAGACGCGTGTAGAGACACCAGGCACCACTCTCGTTAAGATCGACGGAAAACGGTACGCCTCAGGATCCTTCGGGATCTGCGGCGATTTCGGCGAACTTTCCCGTGCACCGTGCGTCCGGCTCGGCGGGGAGTCTGCGTGCTTACAGGTGTCCGTCGGAGCAGTCCCGCAGGATTTGCCAGTCGGTGGTGGTGGTGGAGGTCCTCCTACTACTTCACTTCCTCCTACTTCGCCTCCTACTTGAGCCTCCTCTTTCCTCGATGTACGAGGAGCCCAATGATCGACACCGGGGATGCCGCTTGCCGCCGAATAAGAAGAAAGACCAACGCCGCCGTTAACCCTTTCGCTCTCGCAAGAGAATCGAGTTTTTTTTTCCGTGCAAATGAATAGCGAAAGCTCCCTCTCCATTTTATTTCAAGTTCTTACGAGTAAACTCGTAATTCTCAAAAATTTATTATGCGATGCAATATTGATTACTCGAAGAAAACTATTGCCCAGTAAAATCTTCGTTGAAGAAAAAGTATAATTTTTTATTTTTATTAATCTTTTTAATCTTAATTCATTTGATTAATCTTTATCAATCAAATGAAGGGAATTTGCAAGAAATTCCCGAAAGGGAGACACATAAGTTACAAAGGAAAGAAAATAACGTTTCATTAACCTTTGATTTGTCCAGTCCGAAATGTTATTCGGAAAGAATCTCGTGTAATCCTCTGAGCCAGGGAGGTTTTTTAATTGTCCGCCAACGCGAATTATGTTTACTCCTTAGTCACTAATTAATTCTGTCGACGCACCGCGATTTCCTAGCGTTCGGTTCTACCGAAAATTATACGCCATGAGTAACGAATAATATTCTAAAAAAGAAGGACGAACGGAGGCCGGAGACCACCTTCGCGGGATTGACTTTAACGAGCAGGCGGTATCTTTGTGATCATTTATTTTACTACAAGGCGGAGCCAAAACAATTTATCCCTGCCTTTACCATTTAAAGGCTGGTAAGCGTCGGTGCTATCTCGCTCCGACTTGTTGATCGGATTCGAAGTATCGACCACGTAGACGTGTCCATCAGGGAATTGTCGTTGCAAAAAGGAATCGTCGTATTAAATCTGAATCTTCTCGATTAAACTCAATTATACTTAACGATATTGCACCCAATGGTGCATCTTCAAGATAAAATCTCTTCAATGAATCTTATTTTAAATGCATCGTTTATATAAAAATAAGTAATTTCTTTTATTGTAATATTGACTTACGTCGTAAGTCTACATTGAATAAGTTTGGCATTTCAAAATGACTTTCGGGAAATAATTGTATGTCTCTTTTCTTATATTTTCTTACAATTCTTATAGATAAATTAATACTCAGGTCCATATTTACATAATTTTCTAACATCAACGTGCTTACTTTCTTTCTCTCTTGGTACATTTTCTCTCCTAATATGCACGCGCATTATGTCGATCCACTGCGAATCAACGTCACAATTAGCGCAAAGAAATTTCATCGAGGTATTGTGCGCTTCGATTGGAAGAAGCCGCGAGTCCCCTTCGCCCCTCGCTAATTACCGTGCCAATTTTGTCCACGGTGCCGATCGTTCGTCTTTCTTCCCGTTCTCCTTGGTCGATGCCTCGCTCGGCCCTTCCGTTGCTCCGTTGCCGTCGATAAATAATCCTCCGTCAGACGTTCATTACGTCGTTAAGTTTCGGCCCGGACTTATATCCACCCTCCGTCCCGCACGCGGAACCCAACAAGCGGATTCGCCCGCAGCGGTAACCCTAGAAATATCGTGCGCCGTGTAAAGAGCCCATGCCGATCGCGAACGAGCCAATCAATAGAGGATATCGGCATTAGTGCGGCTGAAGAGCCACTACTTGAAAATTATTTGGTCTTCGATAGATAAAAATGATAGAAATTTAAGTTCGCATTTCAGATGATTAAGGGAGCAAATCGCTCGCCGAGATAAAGAGAAAAGATTCTAGTACAAGAAGCAATTAAATTTTTTTATTAACTGATTGTCAAACGTACGGCTGCCTCTTATTGTCTCTTTTGCGGAGGAAACCAGGTTCCTAATAATTATATAATTAAAATATACTATACAGCTTCCCTTTATTTTCGCGCAACTGACTCCACCAACTGCATAAGACGTCGCGATCTAAATGTCTGCATTACTCTAACTGTAAAATCAGATAGCAGATGCCAACGTTCCTCGGTTGCTCGCGGTAAGGATAACTGGTAAGATCGAATGACAGGCGTTAAGTCGCACTTTCGCGAGCCTCGGAAATGTGTAGCGCGCAAATGCATCAAGCAATTACCGCGGCAATGTTGCAAAGGTATTCCGAGAAACGGCGTGTTTCTTGCCGCGGGCGATCCTCGCGAGTAGGCGGAATAACTTCACAGAACAAAAGTAGAAATATCTCTGTTTGCACCACTCGGCTCGCGGGATGAATGGCAGCATTAACTTATATAAGTACTCGCGGCTTGCGCAATGCGTTTACACCTCATTAATTTAAGAATCGTGGACGAATGAGCGCATTGCGAACGCCAGATCTCTGAGAATTTCTCGCGCAGCCAGTATTACGTGCGCCATAAAGTTCATTATTTACCGTTAATAACACATTTGTCTACTTATCCTCTCGCGATTCCGAGTAAACTCTCTTCATTTTTATTGATTCCGTCCCGATCTACCCCCCCCCCCTCTCTCTCTCTCTCTCGCTCTCTCGCTTTAAGGGACTTGTTCCAGAGCGTGTAATAAATAATGATTCTGATTCTTTCTCTCTCAGCTGTTCCGCTTATGGGAAAGAATATGCCGCGCTGAAATTAATGATAACCACGCTGTCTCATTTTTGTTTGAGGCGCCCCACAATAAGTTACAATAATAAAGATGAAGAATTGCGATGAGGCGTCGGTACCAAAACTAAATGGGTTAAAGCCACGACTTTATTAGCGGGAAAGTTAGCCGGACCAGAGAAAGACAGCTCCTTCGTCTCAGATTATTTCCCGGCATTATTCGCCGAAGAAGACATCGGCTATAAAAAGGGGACAAGCGGATCCGGCGACAGCTGCTTCGCTATTAAAAGCGACTTAAACTCCAAACCCTTCCCGCGATCGTAGAACGCGAAGGTACCTCCCCTCCCCACCCCCCGTTCAGTCACTCACTCTCTATTTCTCATCCGCTCCCTTTCGCTTCTTCTTGTTCCTCTTGCTTCTCTCCTCGCCGTCGTGTCATCCCTCTTCTCGTGATTACGCGCGGGCAAAGCGTAAAGCCACGCGTACGCGTGTACGCGCCTGCGACTTCTTGCTCGCAAATAAGCGAATCGCTAAATGAGCCGTAAAGCCGAGCCTCGGGGATGTGAAAGAAGAGGCGAGGGGAGACTGCGCCCCCGAACTCCGGGCTTGGTTGGTCCTAGATTAGAATTTAGAGCCGGCATCCTCTGTCTCCTCGCGGTCCAAAAGCACCGCGGTCACGTGGGGAACGGCACTAAAAAACGTTCACGAAGAATAGCCATTCGAGATATTAAAGAGCGAGATGAGAAATGGACCGCGAGTGAAGGGACGCGCGCGGGATGACTATAGAATAAAATTATAGCCCCCCCGCCGTTGCGTCTCGCAATAACTTTCGCAACTCTGTGGTATTAATTACGAAACTCATGTCTCGTTTCTTATACTTTATTGTAAAACCGTTCGATTCGGTTTGGGCAAAGCACGAGAGCATATTCGTCGCCATGAAATAAAATAAAAGCTACAGGTAAAATAAGCGGGCATGATTGTTACATAAATTGTTGATAAATGCGTCGAAATGTAAGACGGAAAAATTCACGGCACTCTGTGGGTTCGCCCTCTTCGACAAAATGGACGTCGCGAAAGTTCCGAACTGTCTATTTGCATGGACACGATTAATTAATACGATACCGGTAATTAAATAGATATCAACCTTCTCCGCGCACGACGGTAACATCCAAATCTGCATAATCTCTATACAATAACGTCAGTGAAAAGAAGAGTTTTGTCCCTCCGTCGATGAACTTTTTGCCACCCACCCTCAACGGTCAACACCCCCTCTAATAAAGATATATAGGGTGACTCGAAGCTAGATCCTTAACGAAACGTTAAGGATACATTTTATTAAAATCTGGAACAAATATTAAAAAACTGAAAAGATCAAATCGTTGAAAATAAAATTACGGAAATGTATATTAAATATTATTAATTAATATAATAATTAAATTGCGCTTATTGTATCTATTAATTAAATATTGCAATAAACTACAAATTTGTTAGATTAAATATTATATTATAAATTTAATAATTTAGGACGGTTTACAAAATTATGATACACAATGCAACTACTTGTAATTAATTTGCAGAGTAGGCATTGATTATTTCTATCAGAGTAATTTTTAGAGAAATACGTCATTTTTCCCAACACTCAGTTAGTCAGAAAGTCAAAATCTATTAATATCATGTATGTGTGCGGTCTTTTCTTAAACGTTATCCAACTATATTTTTCAAAGAATTTTCAAAGGATGAAAAGAACAGAACTCAGATTATATTCGGAGACAAAAAGAACCATCCGAAGGAGCTCTTTATTTAAATCGCGATTAGAAGTGTGACAAATATGTCACCAAATAGACTCTTAAGATCCATCTATTGGAACGCATCTCAACATCTCAAAACTGGTTTCCACTGAGTTCCTTAGCAGGTCGAAGTAAAGTCATTATACTACCACGTGACTTCGCTCGTTATGAAATGCATTTCGCTGATCTACTGATAGTCGTCCGGCAGCCAGGGCATCCAAGTGTTGTTAAAGTGGTACGGAAAGCCAGCCGGATCGACGTCTGTATTGAGTTCCTTCATGAGGACCGATTTATAGCTGTCGATGAAGACGCTCAATTTCTTCACAATCTGCAAATGGAACGACACTTATATAATTATTTGCACACGTCATTTTTTCCTAACGAGTATAATCACAAATATTACAAATGCCTATTACGCACAATTATTATTGGCGTAATTAGCCCTTACAATGCAACGAGCTTGACATAGTTAGGTTGTTAGAGCAGAAATTATTTTCCTTCTAGTAAACTCCGAGCATCGGTTACATACGATTACAATTGCATTTATGTTACAATTGTTGAGTGAGAAACTGTAACATAAATGCAATATAACTGATGCTCGGTGTTTACTGGGCTGTTATGAGAAAGATATCATTCCACTTAACTTAATTTATTCATATTTGCAATTATTTGGAATATGCAATAGAAAATGAACGTTTAAAATGTAACATATATACATAAATGTTTACTAAGATTTCAATCTAATATCTCACCTTAGAATACTTCAACGATAGATCCGTGATTTCGCAAGGGTCTTTGTAAATATCGAACAAGCAAGTGCGGTTCGTGCAACTGGAGGAATATGTGGAATTTTTACAAACTATCGTGGCCCTTTTACGGAGCGCTTTTATTTTCGTTGTAGTTAACTTATTAGTCGAAACGCTCGCGATGGCCGTTGCGGCTGGTGACGTTAGCACCTTCGTCATATTGTACTTGGGATAAGATGGACCATTACCGCTATAATAATCATAATGCTTCTGATAATCGGACGTATCTGTATGGAAGAAGAAACATAATTTTTCGTGCATTAATCGCTCATGCATTTAATTTTAAACCGACCTTAGACTCTTGGTAAAACTAAAGATATATGTTTATGAAAGAGAGAGAGAGAATTCGAAATTACATTAGAACAAAAAATAAAAAGGATTACTGATATACACCTCTAACGAGTTTATAACGTCCCACTATCGCTGCCTCGTTGTTCTGACTCTCCCAAATATTCAGGAGAACCGATGTCCGTTCGCCAGTTTTTGCTGTCTTAATCACGGGCCATTGATCAATGCCGTCCAATTGTTGCAGATCACTCGAATTACCGCCAGCCGCAGAGTACAGTGTTGGCAGCCAATCGGCAATGTGGAATAGCCGCGTCGAGACTCTCGATGGACGCTGAATCAAGGGTGAATAAATACACGCCGCGCCCCGAATGCCGCCTTCGAATAAGGTAAATTTCACCTGCAAATATATATCATTTTAATTTTATGTATAATTTCAAAATCTGCAATAGTCGTAATTTTGGCTGATCAGCTGTTTCTACAAATTCAACAATATTTTTACATTATTTTGGTGTTACTGTTAGCGGTGTTAATCGCACGCAAAAGCAAACGTGGAGTAGATAGTGTTCGTATCATTTCTGCTTTATTTACCCCCCGAAGTGGATAATTGGATCCATAATTTTCCAAGTATCCTTCAGTCTGTGCTCCATTGTCAGACATAAAGAGTATGATTGTGTTCTTGAGCATGTCCTTCTTCTTCAGTGCGTCGACTACACGACCGACAGACTCATCTAACGTGGCAACGACACCTAAAAGTAGAATATACGATATTAAATTGAATAACAAAAAGACAAGCACGTATTGCAGTCAACATTCTTATTACACTCGAAGTAAAAATGGAGTAAAACACACGAATAGTAAATAAAATCATTTTTTAATAGACGAGTCTAACAGAGGGAAAAAATAATTTAAATATTGCAGCAAAATTACCATTATTGTAAATTTGCAATTACGTCATACTTTTGTTGCCATTAGGAACATATTAATTTATCATTAAAGCGAACAGTTCATTCGCGTAATTATACATGCATGTTGCTATTATGATAAAGTTGTCTGGTGAAATGTGAGAATACATAATTTAAAATTACTGCTGCTCACATAGTTGACACAATTCGCAACAACAGAGAATTTATTTACTGCATCAGCAAGACTTCGTCATCGCGCATAAAATATGACCCGAATCCACTGAAAGATTATTTCATAATCGCAAATTACGTAACGTGAGCTAAGTTCGCATAAAATTTCACGTGACGATATTCGCAATAAAAAAAAGTGACCAAGAGGTGCGAAATCATGTTTACTCGCGTATTTTCTTCTGTTAAAATCTTCGATGTAGCCGAGGGTGGCTTTTGTTTCTTTCCTATTGCGTACTTCCATAACGCTTTCGGCATTACTAGCATGAGCGGCGAGATGTGCCAGTTGCAAATACATGGGCTTATCAGTGTTGTGCGACGAAATAATACTTTCGGCCTCATTGGTCACAAGGTCAGTCATGTAGTCGTATCTGTATTCCACCGTGTGGTTATCGCCTACACTGCGGTGCAAATCGTAACCCAGTTGTCCCTACAAAATGTCATGCAAACGTGTATCACAGAGCATACATTATTTGACGTTTGTTGTATTAATTGTTTATAATGGTGTGATAAAGTCGTTCATGGTGGATCTGTTACACCTCTTCTACCCGTTGCAAGCGATTTTACAATAATTTTATCAACTATCAGACAAAATACGCATCGATAATTTTATTATCGTTTTACATGTGTAATATATAATGCTGACTTTCTCCAGCGACTGTTAATCATGGAAAAAAAACTTACACTTTCGTAAATTGTATGATTGAAATATTCGATCATGCCGGTGTAATATCCCAAGAAAGTATCGAAACCACGACGAGTGGGTCCGTAATTTCTTGTGTGATAACCAACATGCCATTTCCCTACGAGATGAGTGGTGTATCCAAGTCTACGAAGGTATTCGGGTAAAAGAGTATTGTTCAAAGGTATACCACGTGGTTCAGCTCCTCGCAAGGGATAGCCCTGCATGCCTACGTTGTAATTAATTCATAAATTAAATTCCAGTTTTTTTATCTCTCCAAATAGCCTCAAAGTGTTGTTACGTTTCGTACAATAGTGATCACGATTCGAGAATCAGTAAAAGTTCAAATTATACTGCAAATGACGACAAATGTAAATAATAACATTACAAGAGTAAACCTTCGAAAATCATCCATGCTTGACGGCTTCTTTATTTTTAATATTTTAGATTCCAAATTGAGAAATAACAAGTAAAAAAGAAATCAATTTCAGATCATTTTTTGATCTGATTGTTAGACCGTGAAGCTAAGTAAAAAGATTGTCGCGGTAATTTGCTATATGATAAAATGAAACAGCGCGCCGCGTCATTGTACATCATTTACCCGTGGTAATTAATAGATTACCTGTCCTTATGGGATATTTTCCCGTGAGGAAAGCTATCCTCGACGGTGTGCATACCGGCAACACGTAATGTCTGTTCAGTATCACACCGTTGTACGCGAGAGCGTCTATGTTTGGCGTAGGAATCTCATCGGCGCCGTGGAAGCTAACGTCGTTCCAACCCTTAGTTGAGAAACAAAAAGACTAGGAATTATTTGACGTAACTGGCTTAAATCGTGTGCGATTTTTTTGAAAATGTTCTCCAGATGAAAATGATAATAAATTAATAACAGAGGAAAGTCCCCGATTATGAGACAGGCTTCTGATATGAGATAGCAGGTTTTCAACGTCCAAATTTAATCACAAATCTCTTGTAACTGTTACACAATCTAACAATAAATTTTTTATTAAACAGATTTTACTCCAAGAGCAATCAATTCATAATGGAACTAACAGATGATGCCTATTGATGTAATAAAAACCCTCGCTATCTCTTATTAGGATCCTATATCACAATAGGGGGACTTTCCTCTAAATCCTGTGAAAAAGAGCCGTTTTAAATTCTTCACAGGTTGTTAGATTTTTACTCCAGACATTTTAAAGCTATAATACTTTACGAAAAAATTAAATGATTACAATTCGTTTCATTGCACTAATAAAATTGGATAAGGATTTCTTACCAAATCATCAGCGATGATAACTACGATATTGGGTGGTTGCACCGAGGTACAGGTTGAACCAAAACAAAGACACACGGCACTTAAAACTGTCAGTGCGGAGACAAACCGCATATTGTTCGGTTTCATTGCTTTTACCAGCTCTTTTGTCAGTGACAAAATCATAAAAGTTGCTTTCAAGTTACGCAAAGGTAATATAATATTATCGTATGTTGTAATGGGCTATTTATATTTAGAAACGTTGGCGCACTGGCGATCAGTGAAGCAAGTGATTTATGTTTCTCGCAATTTATTATTCGTTACTATCTTTCTAATTATAACAAAAGAGCTTATTAGAAAAGCAATAAGATAAATGTTATCGTTAGATAACGGTGACACTGTTTTTTTACACTCTTTTACAATAGCCTTATAATTCTCACTGTCAGTAAAACTCGTTTAGGTTGGCATTACATTTGATACTACAAAGTGCGAGATAGTACATGCGAAATTTATTAGTACACTGCAAGGCGATAGCACTCGCGCGATTAACATGACCTCATTATGAGTTCAGTAGGTTTAGATGGCTGCTTTAATCGGATTTATATATAACGGTACAGATAACCTCCGTAATTCTAAAACTAGCTAATCACAACTACTCTGAGTAATAAAATGCTTCACCAGTCTTATAACTACGGATGTTATTACATCCGATTAAGGGTGTTGTGTAAACATATTCTATGACGATAAATATCCCTTGGGAAAATTTACTTTAAATGAAATTAAAGTTTTTAAAAGTAATCTTTCAAATCTAAGAGTTTGCTTAAAGAAGTCAAAAGTTTACTTCAGCAATTTTAGAATAATTTTCGAAACTTAAGGTAATTTTTAGATAGCCAAGCCTGTCGAAGCTCCTGCTAGAGAACCACGCGGCATAGCACTTTCTCGTAAGAAGAAAACCGCACGCGGTATTATAAATTATATTGCGTACTTTTCACAATTCTTAAAGTTCTCCTTTAAATTTTTAAAGTAAGTTTTAAGTTTATCTTAAATAAAAGTGTCCAAATTTACTTTTCATATTTCTTATTTTTCTAAAGTACAATTTTATGATTTTCTAAGGTATATTTTTCCAAGGGAAAAGTTATAAAACGTATTTCCAGTTTTTATCTTTTATTACAGCTTTTTTATCGCTTATTATAGCTTTCTTGTCATTGACATGAAACGTCACTGTAGCCTTAAATGTTAAGTGAAGCGTGTATTACACTACTACATTGTGTCATTTCATATAAATTTTTAATACACATACATAATTCGCAAATACGACATTTAATACATGCGGAATTATACAGGGTGTTCCAGGAGGAAAGGTCAATATTCTGGAAAGTGATAGCATCGGTCACACACACACACACACACACACACACACATTTCAAGGGCCTGAGCAGAATGGCTATCTTGTACTCTTAAAACATAAGACAGTTATTGTGCGTTACCTCAAGACAAAGGCTTAAAACATAAAACTTTGTCTTAAGGCTATCTTAAGAGTATAAGACAGCCATTTTGCTCAGGCCCTAAGCAAAAATGTTCATAGGAATATATGTCCCATTCCCCCACTGTTTCCGAGATGAAGCTATTTGAATGTCTCGTGTACTTACTTCTTTCTGTACACTTCATTCTTCATCCAACCTCATAAACGTCTGCGGGAATTTACTCTTATACGTCTGTTGACTGTTGTACTGATAACATTGTATTATAGAAATGTTCAAAATGCCTTGCATATTCACAAATGTCGAATGTAATAGTCTTTGATATACTTAATACAAATTTTGCGAAATTTCTATAATGCTGAATATAAACCAATCCAATTTATTATTCATTATTATCAGTATAAGTTAAACGACAAAAAACACAAGGTTACTTTGCGTAAGGTCACTTAATTCTACCGCAAATTAAATAGCACAATTAGCAACAGAAACTGGAGAAGGTAAAATGATATTTCGTTGTGTTAACAGATATATAACCTTACCAGAACTAGCTGTTTTGAAAGTACTCACAATTAATTGAACGACGTGCGAAGAAAAACAAACTCGCAACTAGTTTAAATTAGTCTAAATGACTGTCGACATTTGATGAAATTATATATTAGAGTGTAGATTCAAAATTTATTAATTACGAAAAAAGTTCAATAAAAAAAGCGAAAAAATTGTCGGACAATGAATTGAACTACAGAAATTATCTATAAAATTAATTATTTCAAATGGATTGTTCAAGGTAAAACTTCTTTTCAACACGCGGATTTTCTTAGTTCCATCTATTCTTGAATAAGATAAACAATAAGACAAGCTATTATTCACAAATACTTTTATAGCCTCAAAGAAACAGAAATCTCCTTATGCCATGCGGTAGTCCATACAAAAAACATTGATAATACAAATGTTAATTCGTCAAACAATGCAAATGCTAAGTTTACGGACGTAGCTCATGTTTAACACATCTGCAATTTATGCATTGCTTTATCATTGCGCGTGATCTTCCGGTAAAGAATGTGTGAAAGATGAACAAAGAATATATCTGTTTGTCTCGATACGACCTCGATACAACTTCCACATGCCAGCGAATCATTCTAAATGGACCAACGAAGTTTCGTTACGTCTACATTTCGATCGCGACATTTGCTCAAACAAAAGCTTTGCACACGACTGCCACGAGAACGAGTCCGATGTGTATATAACAAGTCAAACCAGCCAACTGGGCTGCCGCGTTGTACAGATAGAACGTGTCGTCCGATGGTATCCACGGCTCCCATGTATTGTTCGTTCTTCTTGGATCAGCGAGCCAGTCCACCGGCGGCTTGAGCTGTACCGTGACATTGCGCCCATACTGCTCCAGAAACTGATCCAACTCTCGAGCGATCTATGAGGAAAGAAACGACTGACACGAAATGTCCTCGGCTCGATTACCTTGAAGTCTGATTCGAGAGAAAATGAGAAACGACAGCGATCGTATATCTCAAACGTCTTTAACAATAACGATTCATGCCCTGTTTAAAATATTAGAGTATGATTAGATATTATATTAGGTTACATGCAATTTTAATGCAAATTAATAAGACTCTTATTTATTTACATTGAAATTGTATGTAATCTAATTCTGTCTATTATTTTAAACGAGGTAATTTACGTCTTTCACGTCATGACATTAAAATGTAAAAGGTACATGCTCGCTGGTCACACATTTGTACTTTGAAGATTTAATATTTAATAATCTCAGACTTGATATTGAACATTTTCTTACCCTCGGGTATTGATTGACGATGTTTCTCGTTTCGCAAGGATCGCTCTCGATGTCGAAGAGGCATTCGGTGACGTTGCAAGTGACGAAATTGTTTCTATAAGTGAAATTGTATCCACAATGGACCGTAGATTCGCGTCGTAATTGAAGCATCGTGCTGGGCTGTGTGGTTGGACCGCCCAGGTGATACGTGATGCTCTGCGACACCGCGCTCTTCAAGATGATGTCAGTGTAGGATGGCGTATCGTCCTGCGCGTTTTTCTTCGAATCGTTGTAATACGAAATATAAGAATGTCTGAATTCGTTATAATATCCATCGTAGTAGCCGCCGTCGATCGATCCTAAAGCATAATTCTTTGTCAGAGCAACTAATGAATCGCATTACAGCCAATAAACTGAAAATAGCTTTCCCATTTTGGAAACTAAATTTTATAAATCTTGAATTCTACGAGTTAGCGATTGATCCGGTGCAAAATTTTTATGTAAAATACCACACGTATATTTTACGAGCTTTACTTTTGAAGCTAAAAGAATTATTTCATCAGAAACCTCTACGCCTCGTCACGTGTAAATTATATTATTACTTTTACTCGCTCAATTACGAGTAACGGAATACCTCGAAGAAGCTTGTACTGCTTATATATAGCACCCTCAGTCTTGGAAACCTCGTCGATGTTGAGCAACAGCTTGTCCCTGACTGTCGGGTAACCGTCGTTCAACACTCGCCACTGATTCACCCCGTCGATCTCCCCCAAATCGTTGACATCGCCAGTAGCGGCGGCATAGAGGGTTGGTAGCCAGTCGGTTATGTGCACCAGGTCGTCGCACACACGTGCTGCTTTACTCAATCTTGGTGACCACAGCACGGCAATCCCTCGCACCCCGCCCTCGTAAAGGGTATATTTCATCTGCCATGTCATAAATCACGCTCTTATATACCACCGTGTCTCTTAGAACATCAAAGCGGCTCATAAGCTCGCATCTCCGGAAAATTTTCGAATAAGTTAGATAAAACGCTGGTTATATCCGCACTATATCAGTAATATAGTAATAATATATTCATCGTGAATAATGTTATTCTATATTCTATAATGTTATTATTTTCCTTATCTTTATATCCGGCGAAAATTGGTCTACGTACACGGAAAAAAAAGTGATGTTGTATCAACAAGATCAGTAAAAATACTTACACCTCGTAAGGGATAATTAGAACCGAAATTGCGAAATTTGCCAATGGACGCCGCCCCGTTGTCAGTGAGAAAGAGAATCACCGAGTCCCTTAGCATCCCCTGTTGGCCCAAACTATGAACGATGCGCCCAACGGACTCGTCCAATTTCCATACCATCCCTAGTAAAATTAACGATGAGATATTAAGATAGGAAATATCTCGCGCATGATTAAATTGCACAATTAATTATTATAATATTTAGCACTTTATTTTATTTGTGTACATGCAAACTATCGCAGTTGTCGAACGACCATCGATTTTTGCCATTTGGCATAATCGTACGCACTTGCATACTTGCGACGTGGTTCCGGGAGATATAGGAACCGTTTATCGTGGTGATCGTAATCTTGCGGATTCTCGAGAGGCGCGTGAACAGCGAGATGCGATATTTGGAGATAGAGCGGCCGAGTCGGGTCATGACCCTCGATGATTCTAACTGCCTCGTCGGTGAAAAGATCCGTCACATATTTGTCGGTTAAGCCGTAAGCCGGAGCATCGCCACGATGCATATCATATCCGCTCATATTCTTATATACGTGTAAAGAAAAATAGTATAGTAATCAACAACGAAAGATAAATTACAAATTGAGGGATAAATCTTTATGAATATTTATCTAGATAAACTTTGCTTAAAGAACAATTTTCTTAGATAAAATTTGTGTTATTGCGTTATACATTTTTATTATAAAAGACGGACCACAAGTATGAGTCTTGCGTAAAAAATATAATGCAAATTCTTTAAATGTACAATTTATAAAGAAAACGAAAACAAAGACGGAGAGAGGATCAGCGTGTAAGTTTCTCAAAAGCCAAATTGATCCATTAGAAAATAGAGATAAATTGAACAAGTTGTAAACTAATCATTCTAGTGCTGAAATTGAGAAATTGATAAAAAGTTGAGTTAATCAGTTTAGCATCTGAGATACTCATACAATAGTCATTCTCTTTTATAAATCGTACATACGTAAGTAATTTTTATTACATTTCCCACGCAGAACTACTTAATTCGTTAACAAAACGTGCGAAAGAGAATTTTACAAAGAAGACATCCGTTTTGATTTTTACGATCGTCTCGATCGGGATGTACTCGCAGACTTCTGTATACTACTGGACTGCTACCTTTGAGCTGAAAAGTAAAGCAACTGTCCCGCCATATCTTGTTAGATAAATAAAGTATGCGTGCATCAGCGTATCACTGACACTCTCGCTTCACTTTTCCGCTCGAAGGTAGCAGACTAATAGTACCTATATAGAAGTCTGTGTGTGTGTGTGTATGTACATACCTGAAATGAGTACTTATAGTCATAATACGAAACGTGACTATTGTAAAAGCCAAGGAAGGAATCGAAGCCACGGTGCAGGGGAGTGTGCTGCGGCGTGTGGTACCCCAAGTGCCACTTCCCGATCAGCTTTGTCGTGTACCCCAACCCCCGCAAATATTCCGGCAAGATCCTCACGCTGAGGGGCAGTCCTCTGGGTTCGCCACCCTGTATATCGTCTCCCTGCATTCCTATATCAAAGAACGACTGCGTATAAGAATATCTAGGACACTGCGACATTAATTTACGCGACGTCATCGCGTGCGTACATACGCACTACCTCATTATCATCTACTTAAATTGTTGCGTTAAATTGTCCCAGACGCCTTCGCGCGTCTTTTTGTCACTTTGACGCAGACAGATCGCAAATGTCGTAAAACTTTACGGAACAGAAAAAAAATACAAATGGGATCTGACCTCTTTGGTACAAAGAAAAGAGGACAAAGCTGGCGTCGGAATCTGTTTTCCAAAAAACTTTGTAATGTTTGTGACAGAAGTTTATGGTGTATACAGCAATGAATAATACATACCCATACGTATCGGATACTTTCCGGAAAAAAACGCGGTTCTGGAAGGTGTACTGGACGGTAAGACGTAATGCCTATTTAATATAATTCCGTTATACGCCAAGGCGTCTATGTTCGGGGTATGTATCTCATTTGAGCTGTGGAAACCAACATCGTTCCACCCCTGAAAATTTTGAGCGTTGTTTTCTGTTAGTACATTATACGCAATAGAAGTATACAATAAGAGTTAATTGCAGCAAATTAATAATAATACCCACACAGCAAAAAATATCACAAAGGCTCGAAGCGCTACGACCGACGAGAAAAAAGTTCTCGCGATTTTTCGTCCTTCGGTTCGAAAAATTTCTACGTCCCGAAGGAGGAGAATTTTTTAACAGTTCCAGCAGTTAAATAATAAACAACTATTTGAAAACAAAACAAATAATAAAAATATGAACAATAAGTTATTTAAAAGAGATATCAGAAATGTGATACCCTTAAAATATTTAGGAGATATCATCTACGAGATATCTCAAATATGACCGGTGAAATGATATCTGATTTAAACATAGAAATCTCTTTAAATTGCCAGTAATAAATAACAATAATCAAGCCTTTTAGTCAACATTAACCGGATATCTGATTTAAGCCTCGGATATATTTTGCTGTGTGGGTAAGAATTAATAATTACAGCAAAGTGTATTAATAATTAAGTAATTAACAGCCATTGCAAGATGAGTGTTTATACGAGTGTATATATTTTTTTACACGAGTGAACGTTATGTATTTACATATACATATATGCACGTACAAAATATTTTCCTGGCACCGGAAGTTCAGCATTAAAATTACGTGATCGAATTAAGTCGTAATTGGCATATACAGGAATTAGCATTCCGTCGTGTAGTCGGAATGAGTCACAATTTACAACGTGCGTACTTGTTGATTGCGGAGGCGTACTACGTAAGCTACAATAATTAACTAAACTAAGGATAATTTTAAGCCGGAATACTTTTGTGTAAATTAAGCGTGCTGAACCCGAGTATGTAAAGCAAGCCACGGAAAGCGAGTAACGGAAATATAATAAAAGTTTATTATAAACTATTATAGGTAAAAAAAAATATAAGCATCCACGGATGTTTCAATATTTTCCTAAACATAGATGAATTAAAATGCCAGGGCTATTAAAAATAGGAATCCATTTTCGTGTATATTAATTCCGATAAATTCAAGACTTGTCTTCCTATTTATTTCTGTTTCTAAAATATAATCTATAAAATAATATAAAAATAGCTAAAAGTCTGGGGAATACATTAAAATAGAATTTCTTTAAAGAGTACGATATTTCTTCACAAATCTCTTCACAACTTTAATTAAATTTTTAACCTCTTGTAAGAAGACGAGAAAATGAATAGTACAAATAAAAAAGAATTGGAAAGAAGTTAGCGAACGTAATTCCCTTGTTTCGAAAATTAGAGAGTGACAAAGAAAAAGAGGAAATAGCTCACTTTGTAAATATTCATTTAATATCTTTATGAGGCAGTTACCCAAATAGCAATACATGTCTAAAAAAACATCATAAAGATATCCTTAAGACAACTTTTAGACGTACACCCAGTGAGAAATGATTCGTCGATCGATGTCGAAATGATATCGAATCGACGTCAATTCGACGGTGTCGATGTCGATTCGACTACTTAATGCCGTCTTAATGATGTCTTTTAGACATGTACGTCTAAAAGTTGTCTTAAAGATATCTTTATGATGTTTATCAAGTGAAAACATTGGTATCTTCATATTTGTCAGTATCTTACCAGATCATCGGCCATGATAACGATTATATTCGGCACTGTTTCGTGCAAGCCAAATACAGTCCCAAAGCTCAAGAAAAGGCACAAGACGTGAGCTCGTAGTGTCATTAAACGCACCATCTTCGTAAACGATTTAAAGATTTTCGGATGTTCAGGGTTGCTGGGAGAAGAAGAGAGAAGTTAAAGCTTCGCTCTTCGTCTACGCGGTCTCTTCTTCGTGCTCTTCGCGTCACTGGACCACGGTACTCGCGTAAACAAAAGGAGGGTACATTATTTACACGGCATATATATACCGACAAACTCTCGCGAGATACAAAGGAGCCAGGAGAAGACACAAACACATTTATACAGCCCACCCACGAAAGAGCGCGTCATGAATGGATCAAGGCGAAAGGGAAGGGAAGATGCACTAATAAGCGCCATAATGACAAGGATAACGTGTCTTAAACTGGGTTGCTTCTCGTCTTACAACCCATTTTCTCTACTTATCTAATTCCCCCGACTACTTGCGACCGCGTAGAATTTAGAGAACATAATGTAAAGAGAGGAGTACTAGAGAAGAACAGTATCCCTTCATTCTCATGTCTGAGGTTCCACGGTTATCCTTACTTCAACGGTGCCGGTGCTCCGTGCAAAAATATATAAGTTAAAAAGTAAAGGAAATTAACAATACATTATTATTATTATATATATAAGATTATTAAAGACATCTTAAGACATCTTGATGTCCTCCGATTAGCGAGATGGATTTACACTACAGCTAATCTAATAATATAATTTTTACATATTAAATTGCGTTTGGTTTTTAATTATATCAGTAAAATAATATCAATTATTGTGAAAATTCCTCCTTTTGGATGATGCAATTGTTACACAATATTTGAGACTTTTCCTATCGTGGTAATTATATCACGTTCTCATAATGCCGGACTTGAAATAAGATGTTTATGTAAAACATCGAAGGACTTTTTTTTATTTTTATCTCTTCAAATGTTTCCTGTTTTACTCGTTCTGTTTTATTTAATAGAGAACTAAATTTGATTTTTTAATAACAGTCATGCTATTTTATTGTTTTTATCTTGCTTTTTATAATCGCTTCAGTTGGTCGTTTCTTCTCTGCCGATTTTTATTTCATATTTTCCTCTAATCCTTTGGAATGCAAATGTATTCGAAAAGAAACGTAAGATGTCCATTTACATTCGTACATGCGCACAAATGTCACTGCATGGTTAAACAGCAATACATACATTTTTTTCTTGAACATTATCAATTAAAAAAAGATGAATTTTGCAACTTTTATTTCTTTCTCACAGAATTATCTTTTCACCAGCTGCGCTATGATTTACCGAAAATTCTAAATGAATTATGACATAAACATCCTTCGCTACCTTTACAGAAAAGTAGTGAAATAATTATTAGAAAATTACTGTACATCAGTAATTTCTGATATATAGTTCAGTTACTGATATACAGTAATTCTCTAGTAATTATTTCGTTACTTTTACGTAAGAGTAGATATGATAAATATTATCGTTGACGCAATGAGTAAGGTACCAATTAAGAAGCCCAAATAATTGGGAATGCCTGAAACGAGCGACCAGTCGAAGAAGCGCATACAATACTTACATTTACATGGCCGCAATCTTTAAAATTAACAAAATAGTGGAGAAATCGCTCGTAGGCCGGTATTCATAGTCAAATCTTATATTCAGGGCCGTCTTAAGATCATCTTTAGATACTCCACAGCCAATGAAAAATTCCATACAGTATCTTTAGATAAATTCAAGACGGTCTTGAACATAAGATCTGACTATGAATACCGGCTGTAGAGTTGTAAATGTATGTTCGGTTTAGAAACGTTTAGGAATGCACGGTTTAGAAGCAATATGACGGATTTGTTACAGAAACATAAAAACATTTACGAGACTGAACTAATTCCTTACAGAAACATAAAAAAATTTGCAGACTTAACTAATTCCTTATAGAAACATAAAAAAATTTGCGAAACTTAACTAATTAAAACTAATGCAGAAATATGGGAATGAAAGATGTTTACAAGTAGAAGTAATGCGAATAAACATGAAATATTTATTTAATTCCTTACAATTCATACATTTAATAAAATATTTGTATATTTTTTAACAATTTATGCTTAAGTTACGATACACCTCTACGTGTGTGAGCCTAATTTTTTATAAAGATTTAAAAACGACTTAGATCAATTCGATTAAAATTGCACCCACCTTTTATATCTAGAAAAGTTACCGTGCTCCAAATATCTGAATTCCATAATATGCGCGTATATAAAATATTTAAGTTATCTTTGCATTTTGTATTGCGGTATTGTATGTAAGAGTTATACTTGTAACCCTAAGGGAAAGCAATAAATCATATATATATATATATATATATATATAAAATATTGAAGTTAACAAACCTCAAACAAAAAACAGATTAAAACGTATCCCATAACCTTAAAAAATTCATAAGCCTAAATATATTCTTTGACATTCTCAGTAATGCAAACAACGGAAATCAATATTCCAAAGGTCGTTTCGCATTTAAACGGATTTCTTTGATCTGTACAAAATCTGTACACGTGTATGGATCAGTCCTTCAACATGGGTATGCTTTTGAAATCTTGCACCTTAGACAAATTATGCAAATTGTCCCACCAATACGGCAGATTATACTCGTAAATCAGACGGAACCATGGTGTCAGCAACGGCGTGGTCTTCATAAAATTGTCGATCTCCGATCGCGAGACCCACCGAATCTCACCTACTTCGTCGGGATTAGGCTTTATGGTGATGTTATCCCGTTGCAAAAATAGTATGTGATCGATCTCGTGTTCGCCCCAACGTCCGTTACTGGACGCTTGATAGCGTATTCTTGTCAGATAAGTAAAGTCAGAAGGTTTGAGCTCGTTGCTAGGTATGCCCAGCTCGTAGCCGAGCCTTCTTATCGCAGCTCTGCGTACACCCATACCGTTTTCCTCTTCCGTTTCGTTCGGAATCTCCGCTAATGGGTGACTGCAGCACGTATTTGTATAGTAATCCGGGAACGTTATCTGCACCATAAATTTATATCGTGTAAATTGCACAGGCATCTATTTGACATTTGCAGAAATATGGGAATGATTGTTTTGCACTAGAATTCAATTCAGGGTATTAAATGAACACTTTATTTCAGTTTCTAGGGTACTTAATAATACGCGTTAGGAAGTAGTGGATAAACAAATTTCTTTGAATTCAATTCAGCTAGTCGTCGAAAGACTAGATATGCAAATTCATTATAGAGTACACAATTGTACCGTCAATTTCTACAAGTTTTCTCTGAAGGGTAGTCTTGTACTTTCAACTGAACCATTCAATAAATTTCACCGAATTGTTCAATATTTTTACCTGCATAGATAAAATATCAAAAGAAACCATAGAGAGAGAATCTCACCTTGACGCTTGACCGTTTCTGGAGTAACAAGTCCCCTTTACTGTTGAACAGAAAGACGCTGAACGCCCTGTGGAGCGGTACACATCCCTCCGTATCGATCTCATGACAAGCTTGCTTGGTGGCCTCACCTACAGCTCTGTCCTGCTTGTCCACAAGTATACAGCGCTCCTTTAAAGCAGCCTTCTGCAACGGCGCTACATCGGCTGTCCCATAGTCCTTCTCTGCAACTGTAGCTACCTTGTGCATGATACCTGTGAGGTTCCTGTACGCTTTGACTATCACGGGCCAGCTGCTGAATGACTGGAAAAATAAGCGAGCATGCGGTTTTCATATGATGTCGCCTACCAAATATTTACGAAAATTTATACACATTGCTTATGCAGTTGATAATAAAACACCAAAATGTTTTGACCTCAACTGACTTGACGTAACATTTTGGTTTCAGCTTGAACCGGAGGTGAGAATTAATCGTCAGGAGGAACAAGAACGTGCACGTGTGTGGACTACGTGGTACGAGAAGACACCGAAGGTACGTTCGCGGAACACGCTGTTAGCTCCAAAAGTATCTTTTATCTCTCGTCGACATGCAACCAGCAACGAAGATAAACTGACGCTTTCAACGCTAATGTGGTGCCACAGGTCTTCTGACCTGAGTATATCCATTCCGCGACTATTTCACGAGCGTTGTTCGACTCCCTAATCGGCCAATCGGCGAACGAGCCTCTTCATTTACATGCGGAGAACGGAGTGACGTCCGACGATATACAGGAATTTCATGTTACGACCTAGTGCGCCATCGATTGTGCAACGACAAACGACCGGTTATTTCTCTTACGTGATGGACATTTTTTTATCTATCGTTTATCAGCCAAGAATGTTCCGCAATCGACTCGCAGTGCTCGCGAATACACGTGAACACGATGACGTACCAGAAAACCGCCGCGATCTGAGCACCGGTCGCATAATTTCCAAAGAGCGAACATTTTTTCGCTCCTCGCACTCCGACGTTTATTTCAATTCCGACTGTGAGCTGCCTCGCGAATCACAAGACCATCTGTTCGGGATATGTTTGTAACATCACTAACCTTAGGCTTCATTTCTGTAACTTGCTATGGACTACTCGTATTTCCTCTTTTTCTCGCCAACATTTAATTATGTACCCACTTCATTTCAAGTGTGATGAATTTAATATAACTGACTTTTTTTTGTATTTTCCCTCTGCGGGAACGCCGTCAACCGTTAGGTTATTTAGCGTTTAATATAACTGACGATTTTCCATACCGGAGTCTGGACCACGGTCTTACATACAGGTCTTGCAACTTCGGTGGTGGGGGTGTCTCACTTATTGAAGTCAGCCCTACTAGAGTACCTCTAGTGAGAGTATGGACAACGTCCGACATTAACAGGGAAACTGTGGCGCGCTTTTCAAATTAATTTCTGTGATATTTTTCAATTGCAAGCCTCTTCATATAGGCTGTATCCCGATATTCACTGCCAGTGAAAATCTATAATGAACGTGACGTAAAGTATAGATTTTTAGTACTGGTAATGAATATCTGAACGCAGCCACATTAT